TGCAGTGTTGCTTGATAAATGAAATGGAGTGCACCACTTAATATAATTGCAAGTTTTTCCTCGTCTTGTTTGGGACACATCCTGCTTTTCTTTTCATCTCACTTCATGTTTCTCTGTCACCTTTATGGCACAGTGAGTGTGAAGATTTGTGATTCTGTCCTGAACACTGGTTGTGGTTATGTGGAGGCAGACCTGGCTCATATTGAATTGTGCTTTTTCATTAGTCATCTTTTTTTTCTTCCTTTCTTACAAAGGCTTACTGTTTTGGTAGATTCCTGGCAAGATGCTGCAGCAATTGAAATGATTATCCTGCATCAGTGAAATATTTATGTTCCTAGAGGAGTCTGTGCAACATGCGTATTTGCTGTCAGCGGATGTTTTAATAATTTGAATTACTGTTATTTCCTCCACATGTTTAACAGTTCATGATGTTAATTCTGTTAGTAATCTGCTGTATTCATTATGTTATTTGGTCATTTTTAAACTTGATTGCTGTACCTACAGTTTTATAAACATGGTCATCAAATGTCCATCTTGGATCTACTAACTAGCATAATGATACATAAAGGAGGAAGCATCCATTGTAGCTGTTGTTGGAAATTTCCACTTGAAGTCTTCTATATGAACATTTAAGTGTGCTTTCACACTTGCCTGGTTCGCATTGCATTGCCTGGTACGAACCCGAGTTCGATTGCTCCCCCCTCCCCCTGCCCTCTCTGGACTGTGTTCATATTATTTTATAAGGGTAAGAACCGCAGTTCGTTTGCATCATAAAGCCATCAGCTTTTTACCCCATTGCTTAGTAAGACAACGCAGGAGAAGGTGGAAAAATGCATTGCATTGCTCTCTTCGCTTTTATATTTATGTTTTTGAATCATTGGCTTTGTTTCCAAAGCTTCAGTACATAACGGCACTTACATCTGTCTTACGAATGTATTGCAAATGCTCTAAAGAATGCTGAAGGCGAAAAGAAATTAGATATACAGCTCTCTGCTTGCAAAGCGTCAGTCATGCTCGTCAAGAAAGTGAGTGAAACACACACAAACACACATTTTTATCGAATAATATGTCATTAATAGCAGTTCGCATATCAGTAGCAAACTGTACCGGAGTTCATTTGAACCATAGCCCAGACCACCCCTTTTAAGCGGACTCGAGTACGGTTCACGGGTGCACATTCAAGTTCGGAAGACAGCTGTCACATCAACCAAATGTACCGAACTCTGACGTCAATCGAACTCGGGTGCACACCAAAAGTGCTATTGTGAAAGCACCCCAAAAACATTGAAAAAAGGAGGATGATCTCATAAAAGTGCCACAGCAATGAAACAGTAAAGTCTACTAGGGCTGCACGATATATCTAAATTATCAAAATATCACAAATGTAAATATCGCAATATGCATATTGCAACGGCGTGCGATATCTTTATAATTTTAATAATAGGCTACTTAAATCAAAACGTTGCAAAAGGTCAAAGTTTTAGTTCGATGCATATAGCAGAGAATTGCTTGACGTTGAAAAGAGTTAAGTCTTTGCCGTCTCGTCTTGCTGTCTGATTCACACCTGAACACTGAGCACACACAGAGAGACGTGTTTCAGACGGCTGAGAAATAAATCGGATGTGTATCATTATACTGGATCTGTGCAGTCAGATTTAAAGGGACAGCAGCCTATAAATACATGCTGCTGAATATGCCACTAATGTTAACAAAACGGCTATAACAAAGATTAATCTAAATTTAATTCATACAGTGAACACTATGCAGTGTTATTTTACACTTAATTATTACATTTCTGTAGCTGAATACGAATTGCATATTTCTTTTTTTTCTTTTTCTTTCTTTTTTTTTTAGTGACTGTTCACTTGCCTTTAATCATGTTTGAACTTTCTTAGACTATAGTTTTTGCTGTGGTATATGAAGAAGTACTTAAAGTTTGTGGAAAGCAAAGTTACAAGGATATAAAATTAGTGTCATTAATTTTTTTGTTTGTATGTTCACATTGATGTTAAATTACATTTTCATCACTTTTTTATTTCACAAATTTTTAAGTAATGCTAAAACACTGCTGGTCACTTTCAGAAGTTATAGTGATTCTTTATTTTCCAAGAAAGAATGTGAAACAAATTGGTTATGTAATATTAATTTTGTAATATTTTAAAATATAATTTAAATAGATTTTACACACTTTAAGCAATATCGTATCGCATATCGAATTTCGCATTTTTTAACAAGGTATCGCATATCACATTTTTCTTCAATATCGCACAGCCCTAATGTCTACTATCTACACTGGCATCATAGTATTGTCATTGTGGTCAGCGCCATGTAATAAATACACTGTGTTTATCCCTGGAGTGTAAACAGCATCTGATGCTCTTAATCATTCATTTGCATAATACATACACTCTAAAAAATGCTGGGTTAAATACAACCCTGTGCTAAAATAGGGACAAACCCAGCAATTGGGTTGTTTTGACCCAGCGGTTGGGTTACTACCCGGAAGGTTGGGTTAAACATTTAACCCAACCGCTCGGTCAAAACAACTCAATTGCTGGGTTTGTCCCTATTTTACCCAGCACTGGGTTGTATTTAACCCAGCATTTTTTAGAGTGTAGTGAGTTTGATTCAGAACCTCCTGATTGCTGGAATAAAAGGGATGAAAACAAATGTTCAAGGCTGTTAATATGATTGCTTCCACATCTATATAAACTCTTTGGTTTTTGGCAGGATAGATGTGGTGGAGGGTTAGTAACCTAACTTCCACAGTGGTTTCCCAGGCTCCATCCATCTCTTTTTAAGATTGTTCCTTAATTCTTCATTTAGACGGACAAGCTGAAGTGATTTGGTCTTTAGTGAAGAGAATTTCTTATTTTTGAAAATGAGCTTTTAATAATAATAATATTAAGGCAAGAAGCATAGAGATAGCATTTCTAGGAGTGTTAGTTTAATAACGTCTATTCTTGAGACTTTTTTTCGATGGAAATTCTAAAATTGAAACTTCTGGAGCCTACAATGTTTTAATAGTAGTGACATTTTTCCTCAACTGATCATGGAAAATGTGAATCCTCATTGTATGACCCCTTGAATGGTTTAAAATACTTAGTGTTTTAAAAGATCTGTTGTCATTATTCTGTGCTGACTACAAGCATATGTCTATGTTCATGAGAAAACTCGGTGACTGTTTCCTTCAATGATCTAAGCTGACCTAAAATCAAATAGCTCAAATAAATCACTTGCTTCCTCTTTTTATTATCATCCATTTTCTTAAATAAGGTTATATAAGGTCTTTCCTCTCTTTTATGAACCATAAATTGGTGGTCATTATTTTTTTTCTCCTTTTCATAGTTGTTCTAATGCAACTGGCATTTAAGAGCCCTCACAGCACTTCACCATTTCCCCCTTTTTTATATTTCCATGTGCTCTTTGCCCCAGCTTCCCTTAACTTTGATGCAGCTTTTAGGTCAAAGCAGAGGTAAAGAAGACCAGTGCCCAGGCTTCTAAGATAAAACCCCTTAATCAAGAGAAATGTCCCAGGACTTTGTAAACTTTTCCATTCATGAAAGCATTCACTTGAAAGCCAGTTCAGCATTCAGAGGAGTCAAAATTACTATCCTGTTTAACACAGCTTTGATCACCTAAATGTTCTTTTTCTGCACTTCAACGGTTTCCCATAGTGCCAAAATATCAGCGCTGAGGGAGATTTTAGAGTTCTGTGAGCATTTGTTTATACAGTGTTTTCAAGAAGTTACGTTAGACAATAAAGTTTTTCTTTGTTCACTTAAACCGAAAGCAAACCATAGAAAATCAGTTAGACATTTTTATCTTCTGAAGATAGTAATATATGCAAAAACAAAATACACTTTAGAGACACTTTAGATATGGGGAATGCATCAAAAGGATCTCAAAGTCTCTCTTGTGCAGCCCCTATAATTTTTGGTGTCAAGAAATTTGTAGGTTTTGGATGCTTCTGCACTTCCTGACTTCTTCAACGTAAAATGCTTTTGAATTGGTTCATAGAGGATATATTTGCTTAGTGGTTTGGGATAAGCTTCCCTTTTATTTTTTTTATTTTTTTATAGTTGTTTGAACTCCTCCCTGCTATTAACTAATAATCATGATAATGTGACTATTTTGTTTTTATTAAATCTGTGTCTGATTGTGTATGAATGGAGTGTGGGATTTGTTACATTTGGTACAATCTGTCGGCTTGGCACTACTATGTATAACAGTTTTACAGCTCATCAAGCCTTGAACAAAGAAAGAAAGCTGGAAAGCAGAGATAGCATGGCTTCAGAAACGGCACAAGTTATCATTGGCCGTGCACACTGACACAGGCAACCGCAACAAAATGACCTCACATAATGACTCTCTCGTCGCTGACAGAAGTTCATACCTGAGTTATTAGATCTTTCCTTTTATGAAGGAGAACAGCTGATGGGAACATAATGTAAACAGACTGTTTTTTTTAGAACAGAGCCACTTCCAGTTAAACCCAGCAGGTTTACCTACCACAGCAGGCTATGCTAATTAATGCAATGCTTGGGCTGCACAATTAAACCAATTCAAATGTAACTTGTTATATTGTCTGGTTTTTAGGCTATTATAAGGTACTTAAAAATGGTGTGTCTGTACCTTATTCTGACACTGTAGCTCATAATATAGGTGCATACACATACAATGAATGAAAATGAATACAATGTAATACGAATGAAAATTAAACAAAAAAAATCCCTGATTTTCAAAGTGTTCTCAGTTTTTTTGCTCTTTGTAACCTTTCTAGGGCTCAGAAAACCTCCTGGCACTAAGCAGGAAGCTCCCTGTCACCCTAGTTCAACTGTGACCCTCAATCCTAGACATCCGCCACTGGCTGCCAGCATAAATATTTGGCATCTGAGTGGACAAAACAGAACCCGTTTTAATCTTTGGATCTATGAGGTCATTTGATCATATTCCAACAGCTTATTTTTTGCCTCTAACAGCATTTGTTTTTTCTGCAGAGATTGGACCCATTACAATAACAACAGATCCAAAGAAGTTCCAGGATGAGCTGCGGGAGCTTTATGTCCAGGTGAGTTCATGTGCTTCTCTTTGGGTTTGTTGACATACTTGATCACAGGTCTATTTGAATCCATATTCATTACAAAAATGAGCTCAGAATCTTAACAGACAGACAATAGTCTCTCTGCTGTTCAACAATAGTCACTCTGCTGTTAACTCAAAAGTTATATATTTCCTATTAAAAAATACAAGCATCTTTGGCTTGTATTACAGTATGTCCGGCAGGTATGATGATTTGAATGAGCACCTTTGTGATTTAAAAGCAATGCACTTTGGGTTTCCAGGTCATCTAGAGTAGGGGTCCAGCGTCCACAGAGAATTTGAGCGAATAAAGATTTTGCAATGTATTTTTAGGACTGTCAAATTTAACATTGATATTAATTAAATATTTTTAATACAATAATTTTCAACATATTTAACAAATTCAGTTTACTCACTATTTTATGATATTTTCTAAATATTGGTTGTAAAGCTTGAGATTAACTGTGATTATTTTATTGACAAACCTAGTTTTTAATTGTAAGAAATAAAATAATAATAATAATATTTTTTCTGTATAAAAGGTTTATACATAACATCCCTACAGTACAATTAAAATATCAACACCAATTATTAATTTCATTAATTAGTCCAATTATTTAGTATTTAAAATATCATGCTTAATATTTTTTTTCACTTAGTATAGTTTTATTTTATTTTAATTTTTTTAATTAGTGCTGCCTTTTTGTTTCAGAAATGGGATGCTGAAAAAAGCAGATATTTGGGAGTCTTGAGCATCAAAATGTATAAAAATGTGTATTTATTGCAAATCTGGCAAATGACAGATTATATTCTGCCGATGTCATTGCGTTGAGGATTTGCCATGTTAACAGTTTCTCTTGGACACCTCATTAAGAAACCGGTGTCTTCAGAATGAAGTGTCCTCTGTGTGTTTCTTATGCTGCCTTCATGTGTTATCAGAAATTTTCTGTTTCCCACTTATGAAGTCGTGATTACAAGCTTGTCGCAATCAAGTGCTTTTTTTGTCGGAAAGAATAAAATGTAGCATCCCATTGGTTGACAGCCATAATATTCACAACGCTATATAGTCAGCTTGCTGAAAATTCTGGAATTTCGTTCAAATATATGCTTATTTCACTGTTTATAAAACATATAATAGGCTATGCTTCAAATGATTTTTCATATATAGCCTATAAATACACTACTTTAGTGACAAGAGAAAGTGATGTAGTTGTTGTGGAAAAAGCTAATAAAGAATAGCACTGACAGCAGCAATCGTTGTCCCTTCCACCATGTTTAAAGATTATTTATTTATTTATTTAGTCATTTATTTAGTCATTTAGCAGTCGCTTTTATCCAAAGTGACTTACAAATGAGGACAACAGAAGCAATCAATTGTACTATTAAAACAACTAAAAACAGATCCAAAACTAAAAGCTAAAACTTTATAAATACTACCTATACACATTTAAAAAATAAAGAGATTAAATAAAAATGACAAATGCATACAACAAAATTAAAAAACTTAACATTTAAATGAAAAACAAAAAATAAAGCTAAAAACTATTCAAAATATTAAAGAACAACCACAACTACATACATATATACTGTATATGTACATAGACATTTATAAATGTAATAGATATATTATTTAATTTCCATTTAGTTTGTTGAAGTATTAAAATAACTAAAATTAAATAAAACTAAAAACTTAATAAATTACATATACAGACATCACACTGATTAAGTGCAATTCTGTATTGGCACAAGGAATGTTTTTTTTGTCTCTGAGGCAGAAGTTCAAGCAGAGCAGGATTTGGTCTAGTTTGTTTGGAGTTCATTGTAAGTGTGTTTGATGTGAAAAGGATAAATTATTCAAATCACAGTTTGCTGGTAATATCTTTTTCAGTGTTCAGAGAACAACCTGCCACTGTAAATGAACTAGAATAGTACATTCTGAGTACATTCATAACCTTTCCTACAGTCTTTCCACTGTTGAATGTGTGTTTGCGTAAAGAACAGATAATCAAAGATCACTTGCTTCCAGATGTTTCATTCAGACACGTGCCCCCTGGAACGCATAATAAAGACAAGACTCTTTGCCCTCCATGTGAGAAGAGACAGACATACCTATATCACAGAGACACTGATGTCCACAAACATTAGAAAATGGTTTACTTTTATCCATATCGGTTTAAAGGAAGGCACATATCTAACAGAACTCTTGGAAGTCATCCACTTGCGTCCAAGATTGTGCTCCATGTTTCATTCCAAGGTCAACATCAGTTGAAGGCATGACTGACTCCCATGGCAAGCTTTACAGCATGCCGTACATTTCTACGTTCATGATTAGGCCAAATCTACTGACCAGCTCATTGCCCTTTTCCAACTTCTTGCAGTTAAGATAAATATCTGCCTTTGAGGAATCTGAATGTTCAATTGACAGAACACACTGACATTTGTGCTCATATTTATTTCAATTTATCTTGATTTGTTTGTGTAGCAATTTAAAAAAGTTCTAAAGCAGCTGAACAGAAAAGAGTAGATAAATAAAGAAGATAAATGGAAAAGCAAAGAAAAATAGCCTTGCAGTGAGCAAGCCAGGGGTAAGAGGAAATGCTGTAGCTAAAACAGTTGAGCATGGTGCTAGCAACATCAAGGTCTTTGGTTCGATCCCCAGGGAATGACAAAAATATAAACTGACAAAATATATACCTTGAATTAGGGCTGGGCGGTATGATGGTATGCAATATTACCGTGGAATAAAGTGTCTATCGTTAGAGATTTTGCTATATCGTGCATTCTGTGGTATGCAAATATATCTGCGTAATATAGTACTACTTAAAAGTTATATACACCTTGAGTGATAAGGATACATGCATGAATGAGAAAATAAAGAGTGGGACACACTAAATAGAGTTAAAAAGTGCAATGAGCAGTGAAAAATAACTCAATGCCATGCTCGTGCTGACTGACACACATACGAAGCACACACTCAGAAAGCGCCTCTCTCAGACAGCATGTGATCACGTATTTGGGATAAATAAAATTTAATAAAGATTAATAAAGTTATTGAGAGCAATAAGCAGTGAAAAAGAACTCAATCCTCTGCTCATGCTCACTGACACATAGCCGAAGCGTGCGCACTGAAAGCCCCTCTCAACAGCATGCAATCGCGAAAACAAATCTCTTTCATGTTTTATTGTTATAAATTGTTTATTGTTATGTTTTAAATAAACGTAAACACTTGGGTGAAAACCGGATGTGTATCAGTATATTGGATCTGTGCAGTTGGTCTTAAAGGGACAGCAGTCTAATTTACCTGCTGCTGTCTGTCGCTTGAACACATTTTCCTAATTTTCTCCGCCACAAATGGCCAAGCAAGCGCAGACACCAACAAGATATGCGATACAGAACGAGAGAGAGATTATGGTTCGCCCAACCTGGAAGCTCAGGTATCAATATGATCTCAAAGTTTCCCAGTAGTAAATATGACTTGAGAGGCCGTTCACGTCGAATTTCTGATTAGGAAACTCGTATTAACAATCATTCCGAAAGGACGTGAAGGCAGCATCCCTGTCAGCATCTGTCCCAGCTGTTTGGGCCAAAGCAGGGGAAATGCAGACACACTGATTAAGTGCAATTCTGTATTGGCACAAGGAATGTTTTTTTTGTCTCTGAGGCAGAAGTTCAAGCAGAGCAGGATTTGGTCTAGTTTGTTTGGAGTTCATTGTAAGTGTGTTTGATGTGAAAAGGATAAATTATTCAAATCACAGTTTGCTGGTAATATCTTTTTCAGTGTTCAGAGAACAACCTGCCACTGTAAATGAACTAGAATAGTACATTCTGAGTACATTCATAACCTTTCCTACAGTCTTTCCACTGTTGAATGTGTGTTTGCGTAAAGAACAGATAATCACTGATACAATGAAGACTATGCAGTGTTTTATTTATACACTTAATTACATTTTTGTAATATTTCTTACTACATGTTAAATAAACTTAGCCAACTGTAGCTGAATAAATTATAATTTTATTTCATATATTTGTTCTGTTGTGTTTGTAATTTGCTTATTTTTCTTAGTTTATAACAAAAATAAAATAAAAATAGCAATATCAATATTCATGTTGATATCATGAAATAAAATTTCTCATACCATGAAATAAGATTTTGGTCATATCGCCCACCCCTACCTTGAATGTAGTGTAAGTTGCTTTGGATGAAAGTATCTGCCAAAATGTATGAATGTAAAGAGTGCCAGTGAAAAAGTAACAGTAAAGACATTTATAATGTCACAAAATATTTATATAAATTTCTATTCATCAAAGAATCCTGAAAAAAATATCATGGGTTCCACAAAAATAAGCAGCACAACTGTTTTCAGCATTGACAATGATATGTAATCATAATAAGAAATGTTTCTTGAGCACAAAATCAGCATATTTGAAGCATATCTGAAAGATCATGTGACACTGAAGACTGGAGTAATGGCTGCTGAAAATTCAGCTTTGCTGTCACAGTAATAAATTACGTTTTAAAATATATTAAGGATAAAACAGTTGTTTTAAATTGTAATAGCCTTACTGAGCATAAAATACTTCGTTCTAAAGCATTAAAATAGCTTACTGTCCCCAAACGTTTGAACGGTAGTGTATACTCAAATCAAGCATTGTGTCTCCTAGAATTAGAGAAAAGAAATAAAACAATAGCCAGCTCTCTGTGTGTTTTTCACTTAATGAACATTGATTTAATGACAAATAATGTTTTTTTTTCTTCCAGGGAGGGGGAGATTGTCCAGAGATGAGTATTGGAGCCATCAAGATTGCCCTTGAAATCTCGCTACCAGGGTCCTACATTTACGTCTTTACGGATGCCCGATCAAAAGACTACAAGTTGACCCACGACGTTCTTCAGCTCATTCAGCAGAAACAGTCACAGGTAATCAAATCATTCACTCGATTTCCAGCTACAATTTAGTAGCATTAATAAAATTTCCACCATGTTTGCTCTGTAAGTGACACCATGCATACAATGCTAGCATGAAGATTTTTATATTGCAGCACTTCGTTGTTTATTTGTAAGTCACTTTGGATAAAAACATCTGCTAAATGAATTAATTTAATGTGATGTAAATTCATCTGGACATTTAGAATCGTGTACCAGAATACCACTAATGATCAGATTTTATGTGTGTGGGCAGGTGGTTTTTGTGTTGACTGGTGACTGTGATGACCGATCGCATATTGGCTATAAGGTGTACGAGGAGATCGCCTCGACCAGCTCAGGACAGGTCTTCCATCTGGACAAGAAACAAGTCAATGAGGTAAGACTACTGGGGGCTACTTGTTTGACATAACCAAAGAATATTAATTTGCTCTTTCTTTATGTTTTAGACAGTAACACAATGCTGCTGTTGTATACTGTATGTCCAAGGAATAATAATGAAATATCTTCATATCCTAACTTGGTTACCAGCCCAGATTTTTATCCACCTGACTACATCACCCCATGTATGATGACAGAGTTAATGAAGACAGAGACAAATTAATAGAAAGATTAGAAAAGATGATGGAGATTCTTGAGGTGCAGTGATGCAGTGATGCAGTATGCTCTCGGTTAAAGGCTTTACTTCATTTGAGCATGGTAACATGGGACATAAGTCCAGGATTCGGTTTTATAGCTCTCTGAAAACCAAGGATTTAGAAGAGTTTGCTCTCTTTCATTGTTCTACAAAATTCAAGCTGCTGCTGCCTCAGGATTTTAATATTTGATGTTACTTAAAATTAAAGTTTTTAAATATATTTTTATATTGCAATAATTGTACATTCAATCTTCAAATTAATCTAGAAACAACATAAAGACAGTATATTTTTAATACATATTTACAAATTTTATTTTTATGTAATTATGATGTGTTTTTTTATGACTGAAGGCGAGTATCACTGATACCAATACTACTGATGTCTGTCTCTATGAAATTGTTTTTCCCCCCTAATATTTAACCATTGACTATAGCCATTCAGCATTACAGTATAATGGAGAACTGTCAAACATTTATTAGACTTTAAAAAATAACAACTTCTAGTTTAAGTGAACTTAAGATAATCTTCACATAAACCCATTATAATAAATGTCATATTTAGCTACCTGTGCCCTTCAACAAGTAGGAAATGTACAGAAATTGAATAAAATGATCAAACACTAAATTCTAAATTAAATATAGATTAATCAAGCTACAAAAGTTATTGATTTCGTTCTTTAATTAACAGACATCACAGCAGCTGGGTTATTAGGTTATTTTGGCTACTTTAAGAGCTGCCACTGCTGAACATGACGTGGATCTGACACACATTGTATTTTCTCACAACTCTTTACCTTTTCTGACCCACTTCAGGTCTTAAAGGGGTCATATGATGCTATTTTAAAGATCATTATTTGGTGTATTTGGTGTAACAGAATATGTTGACATGCTTTAATGTTCAAAAAACACATTATTTTTCAAATACTGTGTAATGTGCTGACGAGTTGAATCGGGTGTGTTAGATGAGGGAGACTCCAGGACAGTTTTGAAAACCACTGCATTTCAGAGACATGTGACTCATATATAACAAATACTTACAGTACATGCACAGTTTTAAGGCATAATTAATTTCTATGTTGAGAGTAGGTTATGTACCACCCGAGTATGAAGTATTTTTTATACTTTGGCTATGTAAATTGTTCTGTTGCATATAAATAGCGTAGAAAACAATGGCCAACATTTCTTTAATCCCCTAATGCTCCGTTTTCTACATCTTCTCCAACTTTGTATTTATTAAACCTTTTGTACCGTTAACAGAATCACTTTTAATTCTCTCCTGACCATCAGTGCATTTATAAACATAAATGCTAAGATGGCCCATCTCTTACAAGAACATGAACTGAGACAGAAAATTTAAAAAATGTTTCCCCAGTACAACTTTAATTAATGTGTTTAAATAATGCCAGTGTTTGTCAAAAAGCATGCAGATTGTGACCAGAGTCTGACTGGGTTTTCTGCCTCTGAGTTGTTTTAGTTTGGATTAGTGAATGTTTGGCCTGAATTTTGCTTGGCAGGGCTAATTCAAGATGGGCTTTAAAACCTCAGGATGAATGGATATAATCTAATCTTAATCTTCTGTAAATTGCTCTACGAAGGTCTTTCCCTTGAATCTCTTAAATGTCCCTTTATCCCAATATCCCTTGTCTTTCCTTCTCTCTCCTCAACATCTCTCAGAGGAATCCTTCAGGATCTTCTCATCATTCTTGGCGTCATATCACGCAGTGCTTCATGGCCCATGGTAATTCTTTAGGATGGTTTTAATTTTAAAAGAATGCAAGCAGAGGATGGGTTGTCATGGTTTGCCCTGGAGCACTGAGCTGCAGACAACATCAAGCGTACGCCAAACCCTCAGCACCAAAACAGTCATAAAGGGCAGCGCAAAACAGCAGGGATCATGTTTAAATGACTTTTACTGTTCCATCTGCCAAAAGCGAAGAAAGAAAGCGAGCCATTCTTAATGTTCGAGAATTTCAAGTGTGCTGTATCTGTGGATCTTGAGCCGACTGTCATCATAAATTAGTTTTGTTGTGCTTCTTCCGTGCAACATGCTATGAAAAACAAGTTGTGTCATTACAATTGAATGCTGTTAACTTAACAAATACAAATAACTTTCTATTTGTTTACTTTTTTGTGTTGCTGTCAATTTAACCTCAGACGTCCAGTGAGGGAAGGCACTCAGTCCGTATATCGGGCCTCAGCACCATCGATTTCCGAGCTGGCTTTTCCCGAAGGCAAACATTGGACTTTAAAATGACATCCAGCAGGCCAGTCCAAGGTGAGTTAGTGTTCAAGGAGTTTGAAGTCACAGAAGGCACAAAATGCAGTTAAAACAGGATTAATATTGTGAAATATTATTACAATTTAAAATAATTTAAATACTTAAAAAATTTAATTGATTCCTGTGATGGCAAAGCTGAATTTTCAGCAGCCATTACTCCAGTCTTCAGTGTCACATGATCCTTCAGAAATCATTCTGATATGCTGATTTAGTTTTCAAGAAACATTTCTTGTTATTGTCAATGTTGAAACCAGTTGTGCTGCTTAATATTTTTGTGGAAACTGTGATACATTTTTTCAGGATTCTTTGATTAATATAAAGTTCAAAAGAACAGCGTTTATTTAAAAAAAAAACTTCTGTGTCCTTCTTAAAAACCTTATGTGTCCTTGCTGAAAAAGAAAGAAAGAAAGAAATCTTACTGACCCCAAACTTGTGTTTCTGTCTGGACCACACACACTGTCAAATTTATGAGGTCAACATAGTGGCTGTGTACTGTGTACATTTTAAACATGTTTTGGTTAACCTTTCTAACCTCCATGCTCTTTCCCACAAACACACACACACACAGGAATCCCCACATTTATACTGCTGAACACCACTGGACTCTCCCCTCCTGCTCGTGCTGATCGTCTGGAACTCTTGAGCATCACTGGTGATGTAATGAAGACGCTGCCCATCCGCTACTTCCCTGATCGACGCCCTTATGGCATTTGGAATATCACTGAGTTTATTCCGCCCAAAGAGGCCTTCTTCCTGCGAGTCACTGGCTATGACCATGATGGTTTTGTCTTCCAAAGAGTGTCCAGTGTCTCCTACTCCGGCATTGTGCCAGGTCAGATTAGTGTAGATAGATAAAACCACAGAATAGTCAATCCAAGTATCATATAGGAGTTTTTTCTTTGTATTTTACTATATGTTACTAGTGTGTTTTGTTCTTATTTTTTAGAAGCACCCAAAGTAAGCATGCCCACTCATACCCCTGGTTACTACCTGCAGAAGGGGAGTATTACGTGCTTTGTGGATAGCCTGATCCCCTATACTGTGCGTTTCACCAGGGAGGAACTACGCCTGGGTGTGGACCAACTCTTCAGGTAGTGCTAATGTAGTCGACATGTTGTGCAGTGTGACCTACACTATCATTCCGAAGCTTGGGGTCTGTAAAAAAAAATTCGGTTTTCTTTTCACGTTTTTCAAAAAAGTCTCTTATGCTCACCAAGACTGTATTCTTGAATTTTTCTTTTAAGAATAAAAAAAAAAAGTAATATTGTGAAATAACAAATTTCTGTTTTAATGCATTTTAAGACATAATGTATCCTTGTAATGACAAAGCTCAATTTAGTGGATCTTTTCTGAATACTTAGTTACTAGGTCACTTTTACAGGCTCTTTTAATCCTGTGCTGAAGGGCCCAATGCTGATAGTCTAATCATTTAAATCTTTGCAATCTTTCTTTTAAATCTTTTGTGTTTATTCGGGAAAGGATTTATTTTATATGGCTCTACATTTTTATCATCTCTTTAGGGAGTCTGCTAATGCATCATGGGGAATCCCTCAGGTATCCCTGAAAGACGAGGGCTTTTATGAGTGCATTGCCATCAGCAGTGCCGGAACAGGACGGGCTCAAACCTTCCTTGATGTTTCTGGTTAGAATGTCACCTTTCATTTTCTACTACATTATAGCCTGTTATTAGTAACATTAGCAGACATGGTAAGATACACTATAATGAAGTTGACATAAATGAGTTCTGTTATTCAAAGTTTGCAAAGACAAAGTTTGCAAAGAGAGATGCCCACCATTAGAAGAGCACTGAAGCATGCTGCCTGTGCATGACTGAAAGGTCAGGCATTTCAACCTTATGCACTGGTGAATAATAGATAACATATGAGGAATACATATGAGGCAAATTATTGAGATGTCCCACATCTGACATTCCTAGAATGTCTCTCTCATATTTTCTTGTGAGTTCAATCTACCCAGCCAGAATCCCAGTGTGATCGGCTCTGATATATGCATTGGTCCAAAACTCTGCCCCCATTTCACCCAAAGTGGAGAAAGCACTGGATTCCTCAGATGAAATGGCCCATTATAGTCTTTGGTTTTATTTCATGCTCTGAGTAACAGACATGTGTTGCCCATGAAAAATCTCATGCGTGTGAGTGAGTGAGTGTGGTTTTGAGTTCAGGAAATTATAATTATTTTTGCAATTCAGTTTGGTGATGCTAGTGGCACAAAAATGTCACAGTTCAGCTTAAACATTTTTAGTTATTTGAATTACAGCAGTAGAAGATTAATACATTGTAAAAAAAAAAGTCCACCTCTTTCAACTTAAAAACTTAAGTTCAGGTGCTGCCTTAAGATTTAAAGTATAATCAAATTGGCTATATGTCATTTCGACTTAAATAATATTAAACTAATATAATTCAATATAAACTATTAAATAAATTTAAGTCAATTTAGTTTATCTTGAATAAATTTAAGATAAATTAGTTTGATGCAGTATCTCAAAACCTAATGAGCTGCCTACTGTACATAGCATTTTTGGGCATGATGGACTCAAGCAAATGTGACTGTTAAAGGTGGGGTAAGCGATTTTTCAAAAACGCTTTAGAAAACTGGTTCGGGCCGAATAGCAAAACAAACTTGTAGCCAATCACCAGTAAGGGGCGTGTCTACTCATGATCTGGAGGAGAGAGCGTTCAGTGCACGGGACGGACATTAGCGAGCCAAGCGACAGAAAGATAGAGATGGCGGATAAAAAACAAAAGAGGAAAACGTCTGTGGAACAAAAGAAGGCTTAAGGCAAGAAGTAGGACCCGTAGACCATAGATATGTATACAGTATATATCTATGGTGTAGACAGCATCAATGAGTTCTATAGTATTTTGTCGCGCCGCGCCACTTGCGTCCGGTGTAGACCCGGTGTAACATTGGTTTTGCTTTGTTTCACAGAACTAATCGTTGCCTGGGTTGCGTACGTATGTGTGGGGGGAGCTATCAAAATAGGGGCAAGACCCTTTTGGGGTAGGGGCGTGTTTGTTTTGGTGATTTCAAATGTCAACATTGGCTACCAGAAATCGCTTACCCCACCTTTAAGGTCTGTTCACACCAAGGTGATTAGGGCTGTTCACACCAGACCTTTTAAATCTTTTGTGTTTATTCGGGAAAGGATTTATTTTATATGGCTCTACATTTTTATCATCTCTTTAGGGAGTCTGCTAATGCATGAAATCGCTTACCCCACCTTTAAGGTCTGTTCACACCAGACCTTTTAAATCTTTTGTGTTTATTCGGGAAAGGATTTATTTTATATGGCTCTACATTTTTATCATCTCTTTAGGGAGTCTGCTAATGCATCATGGGGAATCCCTCAGGTATCCCTGAAAGACGAGGGCTTTTATGAGTATGTGTGGGGGGAGCTATCAAAATAGGGGCAAGACCCTTTTGGGGTAGGGGCGTGTTTGTTTTGGTGATTTCAAATGTCAACATTGGCTACCAGAAATCGCTTACCCCACCTTTAAGGTCTGTTCACACCAAGGTGATTATTTGGTGCAAAAATTTGGTGCGTTACATATTTTAATATGTTCAGACAAGCACAAACATTTGCAAGATGTTAATGTAGGTTTTTTTTTTTTATGTAGAAAAGTTCTAATCTCTTTTCCATCACACTGCAATGAAAACTGGCCGACCAATAACACCATTTTTGGTCATATGCCCAGAGCTCCTGCTCCTGCATAACTACAACTTGGTGGCACTCACAAACAGTCTATTTTGCTAAGCAACAGTAAACTAGTCTTGTATTTGGTGTTGTTTGATAAACACCATAGCGAATACAGAAATCTAAATGGCTATTTGAAAGCATGTAAATACTGTTTGACTTCCTATATTCTTTGTAACAAGCGGGCATCAGAAACAGAAGGTTGCGCAGCGCTTTGTGTACCAGGGTAAATGGGGGTATTTCTGCTTTTCCTTAAGTGCCACCTACTGTTAGAGAGTGAATTTGCATTTTCATTCAGTCTGTATGTCGGTCTAAACAGACAAATCTCACAGCAAAATTTGACCGAAATTTCATGCTAAATATTTACGCACTGTTTAGGTAGGCTGCAATTTTGAGACACTGCTAATATCCTCATATCACTGCAATTAGATTTTGATATGAGATTTTGTACTTGGAAGACAGATCAGAATTTTTATTACCTAACATTTCAATAAGAGAGAAATATTTCAATGTTTGGTTTTGTATTGCACAAGGGCTGCAAAAATAAACAGGACTGTATCCTCATGGCAGTGTGGTTTTGGAAACCAGACACCACACTGTCACAGACCGTGATTACACAAACTTCTTGGACAAATAGCCTCACTTCCTGTCTTCCGGCTCCTCTCTGCTGTCTTGGCTTTATGGTGAGATACTGCCTTAAAAACACCCAGGGTTACTTTAGAGTCTGGGATTAAGATCCCATTCACCTGGAATGGTCACCTAGAAGTCACATTTCACATATAGGTTTATTGTTGACCAAAGGATTATCCCTGTCCCATTTTCTGAGCTGTTTCCCTGACTGTGCTGTCGCCGGGCCAGTGACATTAGCAGAAGTGACAGGAAAATCCTCCCTTATGAAATGTATGTGTCTTCCTGTATAAATTCCCCACTTATGCCCTAATCCACACATCTGTCAACACCCTCCCCATTTCCCTTCGCATTTCAGACTCATTGCACAGACTTTCAGATTTGTAGAGTTCACAGACATCCAAAGACCTTATGAGAACTCACAGACAAAAACAATTAATGAAGGTGAACTGTTACAAATTAGACTGTTGAATTCAGTTGCTCTGGGATAAACAGGTTTATCATCACACTTTCTTTACTGTGTATTTGTGCAGAGCCTCCTCCAGCTATCACGGTGCCCTCCAATGCAACTGTGTCTCCCGGTGCAACTGTCATTCTGACGTGTCTAGTTGCCAGCACGGTGCGCTTTAACCTGACTTGGCAGCGAGGGGACGTGGATGCCAGATTGGACCATCGGATGCGTGTCACCGCCAACCTATCCTTGGAAATCCAGCGAGTCACTCCTGATAATGTCGGTTGGTACACCTGCATCGCAGCCAATGAGGGTGGAGTCTCTGCTTCTCGTGTGTACCTCAATGTGCAAGGTAAGTGTATCTGTGAGATTTTTTTGTGTTTTTGATCAAGTGTGAATGATTGCAACAGTTTTACCACATTTAAGGGCATAAGTGTATGGGAATGAAAAAGGGAGGGCATATTATATACCTTACCAGTTTGGCTAATGAATATTAATTAGGTAATGAAAGGTTTGCTAAGCATAAGAAGAACAGTTTATTTCTTGTGCATTCATTCTGCCAGTGCAATATTGTGATTATAATCACAATGAACATTTTATTTTACTCATTAGAATTTTAATAATTGTAATAATTCTAGTTGTTATTATTGACCCAAAAATGAGCAGTTCATAGTTTTATTAAACAGTCACATTCTTTGTCCATTAGGTGTGTTTAAACAGCTAAGAGCTCTTCGGACTTTTAATACATGCATAGAAAAATCCATGCCACAGGGCTCTTGGCAGCTCACTCTTCCACTACTCTCTAGTACAAGATCTGTTTTCACTGCAGCCTTGCTGTAATAGTTCACTGTAATATTTTATAGCACTTGTGAAAGTGATTTATGCTGGTCTTGCTCACTTGTTTGCGATCCTGCAGTTTCCATTGAAACAGGCTCTAAACCCCTCTCTTACACTGAATTAAGAAGACTTCCTCCGACAGTGCACAACCCTGGCAAATCACTTTGCTTTCTCTCATTGGGGAAAATAGCCATTTCGTGCGAAAGAAAAATGACAAATGAGATCACAAATGAGAAGAGAAATGGCTTTTGTAACAGAACAAAACAGAACTGAGTATAATGGATCGTTCACACAAAACACGTTTTTGAATTGCATTGCCGTGCGCTGCGTTTCAATTTTCTTTATACATAAACATACACTAGATGGACGTGTTTGGCCATTTTACTCACACTTCACATATTTTGTTGTGTCTAACATGACACTGCGTTCTAAAAGACCTTGCTTATTTATAAAAATAATTCCACTGCCCTGTGTCTTGCATTTTTCTAAGGAAGCCTCTCATAACACCCAACCAAACATATACATGAAAAAGACATTGAGCTGAGTTTCTAAGAGGTCATGAAGTATTTGTCCTCACTGACCTTTTGTGTTGCATATCGCTTACAGAATCAACACTAGTCTGCTGTTTCTCATACTGAGGCAATTTTTTATTAGTCATGCTCTGTTGTAATGAATTAGAAAAAGCTGTTTTGATTTAAAAATATGGAGTTTGGAGGTAATATTGATAGATAGATATGACTTGATATTGTCCTTGATGATGATGAAATGTGTCAAGCCCCTGAGGGCCCCAGCAGGGCCGGGCTTGAGTTTTATTTGCAGGAGAGCGGGAGTGACATTTACTGTATAATTTTACCTCATTGTTGAGTGATGAGTCTCTTAGTTTTCCATAACATTCTTTCCCAAGACCTGAGGAACGGGTTTTCCCTGCATCCCACTTAAATTCTCTGTGTCCCTATTTCTGCCCTGTCTCATTTCTGTCTCTCTTTAGGTTTATTTTCTTGCATCTGTGTCATTTTTTTCTGTCTTCTTCTCTCAAGATTCTGTAAAGTAGCTTTATAGACACTGTAAAAAATGCTTTACCAAACAAAGCATTTATTATAGTGCATACACATTTACATACATATACTAGTGATCGACCGATATTGATTTTATTTTATAACCGATACCAATTATTTGCATGTTTATGTGCCTGATAACCGATATGCAGAACCGATATTTATTTACTGTTATAAAGTAAATAAATGACTGAGTGAAGTAAGAACATACTTCACTTTGGTTTTTCCTCTTTTCAGTCATCTTATTTTTTTGAAGTGTTGAAAATTAGCAGTCTTTCATGTTAAATGTAATCTTCATATTACAACAATAAAAAACATTTTATTTATAAAAAGCATCAACAGCAACAACACTAATATTAACATTAAGCAAAATAAATGTAGAATTTCTAATGTTTTCAAATGGAGAAAATAAATAAAAGAGTCGTATCAACTTCATTTTAAACTACAGTTTTAGTAGGTTCAAGAGAGAGTCAAGAATAATTCACTGGATAATGTTAATTCACTGAATAATATTTTCTGGAATATTGGAATATAACAAACAAAACATTGTATTTTATTGCATTTCTCAACTGGAATGTTATATCAGAATTATTAATAATGTTTTTGTCCTTCTAGATTATGACATGCCTGCTGACAGCGTGGTTTATCTATGCAGTTATACAGAACTATACTCAAACTGCAATCGCTCGTGGAGATAATAAATAAATAATTAATTTCCATAGAGTTGTATTTATTTTGATGATTATTAGTGAAATAATGGTTATATAGTAAATGTTAATATAATTTAGGGTGTTTTAAACAAGTGAATCTTGTTAAAATTTACATGCGGTGGCCGTGCTGGAGCATTTCCTGAGCATCAACTCGGTGAGTGAACAGCAATATAAAAGCGGCTTCGCGAGACTAATGATGAGCAAATATACAACAGAGAGAGAATTAAATTCAGCGCTTTTATTTCCAACATGCGCTCATTCATGTCTGTATTATGTAACTCATGCAAAGTTGCATCTTTATTGGGAGAGGATCTTGACGGATTATCTACGTGACTCCGACTTCACGAGACTACAGACAACAGAGAGAGAATTCAGTTCAGCGCTTATATTTCCAACATGCGCTCATTCATGGCTGCATATTATTTAATTCAGGCAAAGTTACGTCTTTATTGGGACAGGACTTGACAGATTATTTTACATGACTCTGTGAGTTGCTCTCTATTTCTTAGAGCCAAGCTGCATAAATTACATAGCAGGCATTTATGTAATGCATCTAATTTGTGCATAAATGGCTGTTATGTTAAATAAAGTTTACTAACTACAGCAAATCAAGTACCTGCACCATGCCGTTGTTGTCTCGTCTCCCCTCAGACATGCTGCAATGACAATCCTGCACGCAATTCTCAAAACACCCACAAGATGGTGGAGTTTATCGGTGAATCCGATATTACAAAACCGATATCAGATTATGGTAAAATGCTTAAATATCGGGAAAAATATCGGTAAATCGATATATCGGTCGATCTCTAACATATGCACACCATTTTAAAATGATACAAAATTAAATAAAATGAAGTTTTAAAATTACCAAACTAAGAATTAATATTTAAATGTTGTGGAAATAATTAAGGCATTTTTATAATTTGGTATATTATATTATATGTAGAAAATATATAGACAGTTTCTGACAATCTCTCTCTGTCTGTTTTTCTCTGTCTCATTCTTTCTCTATAAATCTCTGCTTTCTTTTCCCTTACCCTCTATTTTTGTCCTGCTGCTACACTTTAAGCCACTTCAATTTTTTTGTGCCAGTCTTTGGCTTTTTAAACAGCTGTCACTGTTGTACTGACAAAGGCATGTATATATGTGTGTGTCTGTGTGTTGTTGTGTGTAATCACCACCTGCTGGGATTCCTGTGCTGTCCTAGTCATTATGGACCCTTTTGAAGTGGGACTGCTGACACAGTGATGCCTGTCCAGTCCAAAGAGTCATCTGCTGTAATCCTTTACACAACATTACTTTGACCAGCACTGTCCTCACACACTGTTTACAGCCTCAGTCCCTGTCAGATGTACATCTCTGTGTTCAGAGGGTCCGGAGAACCAAAGAATATCTAGAACTTTACAGACCCTTAGTGAAACTTTAGTGTGAAAATTTTCCTCCAGCGATCTTCCTTTTCCTGCAACTGATTAAGTAGATTAAAGAGTCAATATATTTGCAAGTATTTTTTTGTTTGTTTATTTACATTAGAAAACCATTTCATGTTACTACAAAAATGTAACTATAAAAATAGCAACAACTGTTGCAATCTACTGCAGTTGCACTATTCACATTAAGTGTCCTTATTTAAGTGTCCAGATTGACCATGCTGCCTCAGAATCTGCGCACTAAAAATGTGTCTTAATCTTTATACCAGATCTGTAGGCATTCAATTTGCTTAAACTAGAGAGATACACATATTTAACTATTTGTAATGATTTGAATTAGAGTAACATCAGGCAAAGAAGTGTAGATGAGGAGGTGCTGTTAAAACCGAGCCTTTTGGCAGACCAAGTCTATTAGAGTACAATTTAGTGAGTAAGACCTGGGATAATTACAGCTTTACTACTAGACACAAAGTGACCTCTTTACAGCAATGCTTTAACTGCTCGAGCATGCAACATACACTGGCTCTCCCGTGTACAACAGACTCACAATTTAATCATGACAAAGTAGGGTTCTGGAAATTACGTCACTCATTCCAGTCAAGCTTTCCATTTGAAATACAGCAGACAACCTGGAAGGCTCTATTACCATTATGTATGTTAGTTATGTTACTGATACTCAAGCACTTAAGCAGTGACTTGCTCTGTTCCAAAACTTGGTACAGAAGCAGCATTCTATCCTGTTACAAAAGGTAGGCAACTCCATTATTCTGCCTACTGAGATATCTCATTTTAGCTAAGATACCTTTTATTCTAAGGCAGCATTGCATGTATTCTTAATCGAGAAGGCAATCCTAGAAGTCATTGTGTCAAGGTCAGTTTAAAAATAGATTCAAGGTGGTGGACAAGGTGAGAGAAATGTTGATTATAAATAAACACAGTTGATTCTCCCCTGCATTATTTGAAAGCTGCCTATGTAGAGCGTTCTAAATTAAATCACTTATGCTGCCATTTAAGTTAGGACGCTGTCTTAGAAAGCAGCTGTCTATGTAGGCAACTTACTAGGTTTTGGAACAGAGCTATTGTGTGCATTTCCTGTCTCTGGCCATGATGTTACACATCCTGCTCTGCTGGGATATGGGACTGGAGGTCAGAGAACAGTGGAGACACCCATGAGATTGGCTTCAGCAGTGATAAAACACTCTCATTCAGCAGGGGCTGAACATCATGAATTGATCAAGAGCATGCTCAGCTTCAGCAGCTAAGAGAATCTGGAACCAATAATCCCACTTTAGTGTTTCTGTAAAAAAGAAGAAATGATAGGAGAATTGCTGTGAAATTGGTTTTTCGCTGGGTCTAGAATCATATCATGGGTATAAAGCAGGACAGTTTTAAATGGGTATTGTGGAGACCACATGTGAACATTAGATGCAGTTATGTTCTTTACAAACACATCTATAAAGTTAAGATTGACTAATGACTAAATATCTGTTGATGAATGTAATTGTATGAGGTATTTGTAAATCTCAGGTCAAATATGACCTGGCAAATAAATTATAAATTTCCTTCAGTACAGTTCTCAACCTTTAGTGGTGGTTCTCAACCTTTTTGACACTAAGGCCCTCCACTGTTCACAACAATTTTTTAAATGCCCTGTGACTTTTCCAGTCTTTATTGATTTATTGAATAGGCATAAAAGATAAGGATTTTTTACAAATCTATTTTTAATTTATACCCGATAAAATATTTTAAATGTAAAAATGTCTATTCATTATAAAAAATCCCATGGACATAAAATTGTATTCATTATCATGACGTTTCCTGACCTAGAAATCACAGTTTTATAATAAGGTTAAATACAGGTTTTTTCAAGTCTGTGGTAATCCTGGTTTTTCAAAGGCATAAAATTAATTATAATAAGAAATGTCTTAGTTGTTTTGGCATATTTTAAAGGGGACATCGAATTCACATTTTCCACAAGTTGGTATGATTCTTTAGGGTCTTCATGAATTGTCTGCAACATACTGTACTTTGGTTAAAATTCCTCAATGGTCGTGTAAAAAAAACACCTCCATTTTAATAGACACCATCAGCTCTAATGTGCTGTATGATCTTCAGGTGATGTGCAGTTGAAGCCATCTGCAGTTTTAAGTATGGATCCTCAGCGTGGCATTCTGAGCATTCAGCAGATTCAGGACACAGATGCAGGAAAATATACGTGTGTGGTGATAAACTCAGCTGGCTCAGCACAGGGGTACATCACTCTGGACGTGGGCTGTAAGGCTATATTACATACCCTTCATTTGAATTAGGGTTCACTTACAAAATCCTCTGATTAAATTGCTTAACCATTAATCATTATGTACAAGGTTGTATATTTTTAATGCATTTCAATGTAGCAGGGCCTGTGAAACATTTACATGAACCTTAGTTTCTTTTAGCTTTGATTGAAGTTGACTTGACTTCAGCTGCCTATTGAAGACACCTACTGTATGAATAAATATATCAGACTATTGTTTTGTTCTTTATTCTGTATTCCACAGCTGCTCCTCAGTTCACACGAAAGCCTTCAGATCTGTCTGCTGATATCGGCACAAACATCACCTTGCCGTGTCATGCACAAGGCCACCCAAAACCCCAACTCTCATGGAGACGAGAGGACAACGTCCAACTCTTCTCTCAGCATCGCGGCCCCAGTACTGTCACTCACAAAACTAATGGGGACCTTTTCATCACCGGTTAGTGTCTCCCTTTTACTTTCACTCTCTCTAGGCCTGTTTAAAATACCAGTTTTCTTTATTAATTTTTTTAATAAATGCCTAAATAAAGAGAGTTTTTTATTTTTTTAATTCAGCATTTTGTGCATTAAAACTGTAAATATTTTTCTTTTGTTGCATTTCTCAATAGATTTTTTTTTTGTCCTTTGCCTTTTAGGCCTCTGGATAGAGGATGAGACCACCTATGTGTGTGAAGCTCAAAACCACTTTGGCAAAATCCAGGCCAAGGCCAAAGTTACTGTTACTGGACTCGGTACGATATCTGAAAAAACTGTTCAGTCATAACTGCAGCATATGTTTAATGTTTATGCTGATCCGTCTGTCAGCATGTCACTAGAGGGAAAAAGCTGCCCTGGGATATTAATTGTTTTGCACTTCCTTTATCTTAGTCACATGTACATTTTCTTGGCCCGAGGCCCATAAGCTTGAGTTTGCAAGGTGCTCAGAAGCTCAGTTTGATGTTTGAGTCCATATGAAATTATTAGGCTCAGTGGTACATGTGTTTTTGGTTAAGAGAGATAGGATGTTATAATAGAAGGCCAAAACCATTCGTTCTCTGTGGCGAGGGATATACCACACCAGATGTGAGTACTAAAACATGCATAATGCATTGCAGTGTGTATACTTTGGTTATTAGATTCCGTTTATGTATTTGAGGTTGTTTAATTACATTGTAGATGTTAAATGAATGCATTTGTATGTGTTCGACGGAGCTCATGCATGCATGCATGCCTTTGAGAATACATACACAAATACTCAGCTTTGCCCTCAAAGAATCAGAGGAATTCAGGCATCCCTTCATACTTTTGTCTTTGATCAAAGAGTTGGAAACCCAGCAGTGGCTCACAGTCCATTTCTAGCATCTGTGAAGTTCTACTCTATGAGTTGTGATCCCACAGAATGACGTCAATCAGTTGAGTCCTTACCGCACTGGCCTGCTTCAACATGTGAGCCTGGCAAAAAAATTACCCTCTTTTACATGCATCTAAGAAAATGGCTCGTTCCAAGGTTTTTGCTGAAACTTTAAAGGGTTAGTTCACCCAAAAATGAAAATTCTGTCATTAATTACTCACCCTCATGTCGTTTCAAACCCGTAATACCTTCGTTCATCTTTGGAACACAAATTAAGATATTTTTGATGGAATCTGAGAGCTGTCTGACCCTGCATAGATAGCAATGCAACTGAAATTTTCCCATGTCTAAAACGTAGCAAGGAGATCGTTAAAATAATCCATGTGACATCAGTGGTTCATCCACAATTATACGAAGCTACAAGAATACTTTTTGTGCGCAAAAGAGAAAAAAAAACGACTTTATTCAACAATTCGTCTACTCCACATCACCCTGGTGCCATTTTGGAGAATATCTGCTGAAATATCTTATCTTAAAAATATCTTAATTTGTGTTCCGAAGATGAACGAAGGTCTTGCGGGTTTGAAACAACATAAGGGTGAGTAATTAATGACAGAATTTTTGGGTGAACTAACACTTTAAAATATAATTTGGCCAGATTTTAGCTAAAATAAGCGAAACGTACGATAAAATGTCCCCTTCTCTATAATATCAGAGTACATATTTGTGTAGTTTAAATAGGTTAAATAAATAACCTAATGTGTATATTTAAAAAGAAGGCAAAAAGAAACACATTTTCGATCCCCCCAGTTTACACTATGACTCATATAAACACTGAAAGCTTCAAAGTCTAAGTATAATTGCAAAATCCTCATCAAGGGTCATTTGGTTTTTTCATATTGAAGTACACACTGAGATCAGAAGTGTCTCCAGTGCAGGCGTATCTCTGTGTGTGAGGGAGTGACTGTTTTTTTTTGGTCCTGTAAAAACAACATAACACCAAGTTGAAGATAAAGGTCACTAATGTGATCTTGCAGTGTGTCTCAGCCATCCTATAATTCTACTCTGCTAAGCTCTAATACCTCAGTGACAGTTTTCATGTGTATTCCAAGGTATCCATGGAAATTTAACAAGCAAACCATCAGAGGTGTGGCCAGTCCACTGAGTTTTCTGTGTCAGTGTTTCCAGTGGAGACTTATCCATCCTCTGTCTGATTGAATCAGGAGAATCCCATCTAAAATTATTTGGATTATGATTTAAAAATCAATTTTCTCGTCTAGAGGGTAAAGGTTCATAGGATGCACCTCAGGTTTTGGTGTGAATAGCTAAATTTGCCAGTGTGGCATATGTAATGGGTGGACTTTTTTAAAACTAACATATTGAAACTATCTTTCAGAAGCTGCAGCATTCTCATAAACACTACTGTTCAAAGTTTGGAGTCTGTAAAACTTTTTAAAAGTTTTAAAAGCTTACGCTCACCAAGACTGCATTTATTTGATCAAAAATACAGTAAAAACAGTAAAATTTTAATATTATTAGTTAAAAATGTAATTTATTCTGCAAATCTGAATTTTAAGCATTTATTACCCCAGTCTTTAATGTCACATGATCCTTCAGAAATCATTCTAATATGCTGATTTGCTGCTCAGGAAAAATTTCTTATAATTATCAATGTTTAAAACATTTGATGAATAGACGGTTCAAATGAACAGAATTTATTTGAAATAGAAATCTTTTGTATAAATGCCTTTACTTTAACTTTTGATCAATTGAATGCATTCTTGTTGAATAAAAGTATTATTTTCTTTGAAAAAAAACAAATCTTACTGACTCCAAACTTTTAAACAGTATTGTTTATCTCTGTAATACTTCAATGAAACTGTATATCACCATCCTAATGTGTGTATTTTGTGTGCAGTGTCTCCTTTGATAGCTCTGAATCCAACAGTGGTCAGTGTGATAGAGGACCAGCAGGTCACTCTCCCCTGTGTGTTACTTGCTGGAAACCCCCTTCCTGAGAGACACTGGCTACATGACAATGGATTAGTAAGCTAACACATACAAACTCAAAGGCCCTGAGGCCTGTGCATTTCATGTTGTCTTTAAGTAATTCCACATCACAATGATTAAATGTGATTTAAATGTATGCATGTGTGTGACCACTTGTCAGGTTACATCAAGTCCATATGTGACTGTGAGACGTGATGGTAGTCTACATATAGAACGGGTCAGTCAGCAGGATGGGGGGCAGTATACCTGTTTGGCCGAAAACGTGGTGGGATCCAGTAACCGTACGACTATACTAAATGTCTATGGTAAGATGAAAAACGAAAACATTAACACTCAAATGCACTACTATTCAAAGTTTTTTTTTTAAAGAAATTAATGCTTTTATTCAGTAAGGACATATTAAATTGATCAAAAGTGACCGTAAAGACATTTATAATGTTACAAAAGATTTCTATTTCAAATGTTGTTTTTTTGAACTTTCTATTTAATAAAAATCCTAAAGGGTTTCAACATTTTTTCTATCCAGTGATGCCCACTATTCAGCATGGCCCTCAAGTGTTCAGTACCATTGAGGAGACACCCATTTCTCTGCCATGTCGTGCACATGGAGTCCCCAAACCAGATATCACTTGGTCTAAGGTAAATGTTGTCTTTGGCACACACATGCTCACACAGTGAGATTCTGAGAGAAAATACTGATTCTTGCACAGAGCCCATCATGCTTTGGTTTTGGTTATTGCATAGTGTTTTCTTTTTAAATGTAATTTTTAACTGGAATTTTATATATTTTTTATTTCAATTAGCATAATGTTAGTGATTTTTTTTTCAAAATCCTAAAACTTTTCTGATGGCATTATTTAGTTAGGAGCTCATTTAATCTTTTGAACTCTCAAATTTTACATTTGCATAAAAACACTGAAATTGCAGGTCCTCTGTAATTTATCAGTCTCACAATTTCAGCCTTACATTGTACCCTCATGTTGCTACATGTATGTGTGATAATGTTTCCTCAGCGAGGAGAGTTGCTGGATCTGAGTGGCAGTGTCTTTTCTCTGGGTGAGGATGGCAGTCTTTACATTGTCTCCCCCAGCGGTGAAGAGTCTGGCGAGTTTGTGTGCACAGCCACCAACACTGCTGGATACAGCTCCAGGAAGGTCCACCTCACCGTCTACGGTTAGAGCAGCTTGATCTACTTGCTCTGCTCTGTTTTACCTGTCTCTGTGGATTTGATTCTTGTGTTTTCATTATTTCTGTGTGTGCTTTATTTGTTTGTTTCCTGTTTATTAGTTTGGTGCATCCTCCAATCTCACCCTGCTGTACTTGCATACTGTATGTCTTTGTAAACGTGTAGTGAAGCCCAGGCTGAGTGGCGTTGGTGGAACAGAGATGCAAAATAACTACAGCAAGCTGTTGGAGATGTCGGTAAAAGTGGGTGATGATGTCACACTGCCATGTGAGGTGGAGAGCATACCTCCTCCCATCATCACCTGGGCCAAAGACAAGCATCTCATCTCCCCCTTCTCTAATAGGTATCAGTTTCACTTATGTAAAAGCCTCATTTATAATGAATACATATGATAATAAATGTGAACATACAGTGATTTCCTGATTGTTACTATGATTGATTTATGAGATGTACTTATGCATGAAAAGAAGTTCCTAAACTTTTAATAAAATCATCTTCAATCTATAATCATGCAGATATTCACATTCACATTCAGATCCACATTCTGAACACTCATATCAAAATATTATTGTGCATGTAAACATAGTCACTTATACTACTGTTCAAAACTTTGGGGTCAGTAAGATTTAAAAAAAATATTTTACTCAGCAAGGATGCATTAAATTAATCAAAAGTGACAGTAAAAACTTTTACAGTATATTGTTACCAAAAAGTTTTTTCAAATAAATGTTGTTTTGAAATTTCTGTTCATCAAAGAATCGATAATTATAAATATTGATAAATATAAAGAATTGATAATTATAAGAAATACTTTTGAGCAGAAGTGTTTGGATCATGTGACACTGAAGAATGGGCTAATGGCTGCTGATAATACACAGAAATAAATTACATTGTAAAAAAACATTTTAATAAAAAAAAGTTGTAATTATACTATTATATAATTTTATTATAAATTAAATGATATAATTTAAATTGTAATAGTATTTCACAATATTGCCATTTTTACTGTATTTTTTATCAAATAAATGCAGCATTGGCGAGTATAAGAGACCTTTTTTAAAAACATGAAAAATTCACATCGACCTTAAACTTTTAAACAATAGTATAATTTAGTTGGTCACTCACTTATTCACACTTGCGTCACTAGAAGTCATCAGAAAATTAAGTCAACAAGCATGATATGTGCACAAAAAAAGCTTGCATGCATGCTTTTTCAGCTAGTGTATGGAATCAAATCTTATTTTACATGCTTTTGAACACTATTAAGCTTGTATGTGAGTAGCTTGCTCTTCTCTACATTGTTTTTCAAGGGCTGATGTTTACTGTACAGCCTAAAGGCAGAAAGACTGCAGTCAGATTATAATTACACATTAATTAAACTCTCCTTTCTCAGCTCACCATAAAAGTAAATGGAGGTATAATTTTGGAAGCTTCTCTTCTGTGTAAACCAGGAGCACCTGTGTGGTTTCACATCTGTAAAAGAACAGCTCTTCTTCTCGTTCCTTAATGTATGTAACCTATTGTAACCAGACATATTCAGCTGCCATCAGGCTCCATGAGAATCACAGAAACACGCGTGACGGACAGTGGCATGTACCTCTGTGTGGCTACCAACATAGCTGGAAACTTCACTCAGATGATCAAACTCAGTGTGCTGGGTAAGAGAAACGGATCACATTTATTTACTTGGATGCTCTTGCAATTTACGCTTACATGTGAAATTTATCAAAGCAGCAACAGTTTTATGCCATTGAAGTTCATATGAGCACACATCAGCCCAGGGGTCTTAAAATACAGGTCCCATCTGTTTAAATGTATCATCTTGCCTCAGTCTTGCGGTGACATTGGGCTTCAATCAGTTCAACACATCCTGAGTTGATTTCAAGTGCTCTGCTTGTACCCACAACTATAAAATAAATATTTAGTCAGAAAACCGCATGTAAAACAACGCTGCATGAGCATCATTAAATGACTGATTATTGCGTATTTGATAGTCAATTTCACATCACACACCACAATCAACTCAACACAAGTTAGTACCTCCACATGTTTACATTTCACACATGCTGGTATGCTGTTTACCAGGACAGACACATCCAAATAATTTTGTCATTTGTTTTTTGGGTAGTCCATCCTATGATCAATGTGTCTCTGAGGCTTTGTTCAGACAGGTACCATTTTTTACCATATCTGACACAAATTAGTGTTCATACATCCATATGCTTTTTTTAAAAAAGTATTAGTTTTTTCACATTTAGGACATGACGTGACTATTATCATACACAATGCACAGTAGTGCTTGTACATGCTTTGTAAATTAGTAAGTTGAGACACTCACATGTGGCATTCACTATGTACTGAAGGATGAAGTAGTGATTTACTGAGCAGTTTCGGACACAGCATGACTGTGTAAATAGTAGATGATTGTAAAAGCAGCAAGTTCAGGAAACTGACTCTCTGTTTAAACAGATGATGTAACTGCTCTGAGAGGGGTAACTGATGATGGTAGAATCTTCTGCTTCGTTATTCTTGCACAACTGCACAAGGGACAAGTAATCCAAAAATAAAACTTCTATAACCATATAATATGCAATATATCACCATTGGTGACAGAAAACAGATAACAGATCAACTATTTGTGTTGTTAACAGACCTCTTTATATATGTGATAAACCACTCCACAACCCTAAATCAATGTATTTGCAAAACAAAACATAAAAAAAAAATATTTTGCTTCTCTGCATTTCACGTCTGCTCTAGCTTGTGTCCTGATCTAGGTTTCTATTGAACATGGCGGTGCATATTGTAACTACTGTTGGCTCTGTGACAAATTACTTATGCTCCTCTATTGTAAATTGCTTTGCAAAAAAGCGTCGGCTAAATGAATAAATGTAAATATATATTTTGTTAAAACAAGCTTGCTTTAATCATTAAAAGAAGAAACAGCAAAGACCACCAATGGGGTAAGAAACTTAACTGGATTAAAGATTATGAGACTTTCAAAACACAAGTCTTACTGTCCAGTGCAGTGTTGTTTCTCAGGTATATTCATCTTTTTTAAGGTTTTAGATGTTTTTACAAAAGTAGAAAAGTTTTTTTAGATGAACTACAATTAACATAAACTGTATTGTGATGCATGAACACCGATAGAGATGTTTATATTTATTACACTTAGATATCTGTTTATTTGCTGTGCAGTGACTGCACGTGAGTGTTTACATGGGGGTTAAGAGGCCAAATGGTGTTCATTGACCTCCTAACGCCCACTTTTGAGATTTAGCAGGCTTGACGCAATGTATGAGAAAGTACTGAAGGAGAGATCAGCTGTGCCTTAGTCACTCAGAGCAAAGCGTGATATTAATTATTGAGTCTCATAAACACAAGTTACCCACTTTTGAGATTTAGCAGGCTTGACGCAATGTATGAGAAAGTACTGAAGGAGAGATCAGCTGTGCCTTAGTCCCTCAGAGCAAAGCGTGATATTAATTATTGAGTCTCATAAACACAAGTTGTTCTCAAATTTTTTTATTGATCAAAATTTTGAATCAGTTCATTCAAATATTTTGCAGTGATTCATGGATATGAATTAAATAGAAATAAACAACACTGTCGTACTAATAAGTTGCAAAAAAGAAGTAAAGAAATGGGTCTATTTTTGCTATTTTGAGGAAATGTAATGGTTAAAATTGCATTTAAATTATTATGATATTCACAATGTTGCTTAATTCAATATCACAAATATATTGTGAATATTTCATATATTTATTAATCGTTACTGTTGCAGGCACTCCTGAGCCAGTGATAAAGTGGTTTAGGAATGGTCAGGAGTTGACAGACAATGAGCCAGGTGTGTCTATTTTGGAGGATGGCACACTTCTCATCCTGGCCTCAGTGTCCCCTCTGGATAATGGGGAGTACACTTGCATGGCCGTCAATGATGCTGGTACAACAGAGAAGAAATATCAACTTAAGGTCAACGGTTAGTGCAGCATTTTAAAACATTCGTCACACTTTATTCTAAGGTCCATTTTTCACTGTTAACTGACTATTAACTACGACTTTTGTCTCAATAAACTCTTTATTGTTTTAGAAATGTAAAAAATATTGATTTTGATAGCTTTTTATGTCTGAGTTTAGAGCATCCAACAAGTAATACTGTTTACCATTACAATTCCATTTTATCATGTACCTTGGATATCCTTGCTCCTAGGACAGAACTTGTTGTCTTATTCATGAAATCATCCCTTTGGTATACAAATGAGCTTAGGGCACTCAAGGTTAAAAATAGGCAACTTGAGCGGCAATACAAAAAAATCTGGCTAAACTGTCCATAAGCTCATGTATGATGTACTGTACATTTAATTCAGTACAGTGAAGCCCTTAAGGTGGCAAGAGCTGAATACTATTCACACATTATAAGTGATGGTGCTGCAAATCCAAACAAGATTTTTAAGACTATTTACAAAATTCTAAAACTAAATAAGTCACCCACATGCTATTCTATTCAGCAGTGTAACAAGTTTCTTAATTTATTTATTTTTGTGGATAAAGTTAAGACCATCTATATGCCTCCATACCATTTTGGTTTTGTTAGATCTGAGTGCAGCATTTGACACAGTGTGCCACTCTATATTACTTGATAGACTTAAAGGGGACATCGGATGCCCATTTTCCACAAGTTGGTATGATTCTTTAGGGTCTTCATGAAATTCAGACTGAAATGTCTGCAACATACTTTGGTTAAAATTCCTCAATAGTAGTGTAAAACAACACCCTTTTTACCTTGTCAAAAACAGCTCTGTTCACAGCGACCCATTTTGGTGCATGTCTTTTTAAATGCTAATGAGCTCTGCTCACCCCACCCCTCTCTTCTGAGGAAGAGGAAAGGCAGTGGGTACTGATCCATCCTTGAGTTTGAACTTTTTTGCCAAACCTGCCTTAAATCGTTCCTCATTCAGAAAGCAGTCTAGAGTAAAATGATTCGCACAGATATAAACTTATTTAGGTAGATCGGTGGGCGCACTCCCTTCAAAAACAAAAGTAATCCACTGCATCTTCAGCGACTCAGATGTCTGGAGTAAATGACGACTGCTATGTTCATTCTTACATCCAACAACAAAACTCCTGTAGGTGTCGAAACAATGGTGAACTGTTTACAGCTCACTCAGGGTGGGTCTATGCTAAAACGGTCGTGTCCGTCAACAGTCGTGGCAGGGGCCTGTGCAAAGTGACGTCACTTTGCCAAGAATCTGTGAATGGCTTGATCTGAGAAAGTGCTTATGATATGTGGGCATTAAAAAAAAACAAGCACTAGATGGATTTTTATGATTATAGGGTCTTTGTGTACACACACTGCCAACACATTTAAGTTCAAACACCATGTAAAAGTGAATTTTGCATCCGATGTCCCCTTTAAGAGTTGGCTTGATATTTCTGGCACTGTGCTTGAATGGTTCAGATCCTACCTTACAAATAGATCCCAGTTTGTTGTTCTGGGAAACAACAAATCTGATATCAGCCAGGTCCAATATGGTGTTCCTCAGGGGTCTGTTTTGGGTCCTATACTTTTTAGTATTTCCTCTGGGGCAAATCATTAGGAAACACGGTATTGGGTATAATTTCTGACTATACCCAAAATTTACTTCAGCTCAAAGTCTGATGTTACAGTCAGTTCCACAATCCTTTCTGAATGTTTGCAGGACATAAAATTATGTTTGCATCACAGCTTTTTAAAACTGAATAGCTCTAAGACTGATTTTCTTCTTATTGGCACACAAGCAGCCATCTATAAATGTAGGAACTTTAATTTGACACTGGACAACAGCTCTGTACTGTCGTCTTTAAAAGCTCGTAATCTTGGTGTGATATTTGATGTTCACTTGACACTGGAGGCACACATTAAGATTGTTACAAAATCGGCATTTCATCATCTCAGAAATATTGCTAGGATTAGGCCTTTCCTTTCTACACCTGATGTGGAAAGGCTCATCCACACATTTATCACTTCAAGAATTGATTACTGTAATTCACTTTACATAGGTCTACTGAAATCTATAAAACGGTTGCAATACATTCAGGATTCAGCAGCACGTGTTCTTACACATCCTTAGGTCAGCACATTAGTGATGTCCCTTGTAATTTGCACTGACTTCCAGTCCAATCACGTATTGAGTTTAAAACACTTATTTTAACTTATAAAGCTGTACATGGAATGGCCCCTTCTTATGTTTGTGATTTAGTTACCCCTTAGATGCCTTTTCGTCCTCTCTGCTCTGCTGATTCTTGAGAATTGCTTCCTAAACTAAAGTGTTACCAAAACATTTCTTAAGATTGTTTCTCTTTCAGCACATTTCACAACCTTCCTCTGCTTCCTCCTTCCCCTTTATCCAGTCCCACCTGATTTTCGAGACAATGGCCTGCTGTCCAATGTCTCTGTAGTGATGAATCAACCAACCAACCTGGTGTGTGATGTCACGGGCACACCTGTACCTGTCATTACCTGGTACAAAGATGGAGTTAAGGTCAGTGCAATGACATGCACCGAAAATCACATGGTCTTGTTCTGTGTAATCACTGCATGTTTAGGTAAAAGAAGCTTGTTTAGGGAAAAAAAATAAGTAAATCTTTGCTTCTGAAGCTACTTTTCTCCTGACATAACCAAGAACTATAGTTCTTACTATAGACCTAACCAAGACTATAATTGAAAAAAAAATTATAATTAAATAAAACAATTATAAATAATAATATGATATAATAATAAAATGGTGTAATAAATGTATATTGTTGCCTAATACGTTCCAAACCAATCACTTACCCCATGATAAAATCAAGTCCAGTCCTACATTATTTCCCACTAAATTTTCTGTTTGGAATTATGTCACATTATGGACGTTAAGCACATTGTGTATGCCAACTCACATTGTTAAATGTGCAAATTAAATGTGCATAAAACAGTTCAAGTAAGCCTAAAGACAAATAAAAGTGGCATTTCCTACAATGAGGCTAATCACAAATGAGTTCCCTTGGATCACTGGGTTTGAGCTTCAAGAACAGGTCATAAAAAACCCCAGTGCTTCTTATAAATGTGTCTTTACGAGAATCAATTCCAGAATGAAGTCAACAATTAGTAAATCTCTAATCACACTGCAGGGAGAGCAGAGGCTGCTGATACAGATTAATGTTGGAATAGCATATATTTCTTAGGATTTTTCTTTTCCCACAGATAAACATGATTATAGCCTTTTACTATTGACTGATATTTTGGAGTGATTTATTCTGATCAATGTTTTTTAAAAGAGGTTGATAGGTAGAGGTAAAATAATTTTTTTTAATTTTGTTGTTTATAATTTGTCAAATAGCTGTTTGTATCATTTAACCAGGTGGTTCCTAGCATTGACGTGCAGATTCTTCAGAAGGGCAAGACTCTTAAGCTGCTTAAAGCAGCTGTTGCAGATGCTGGACGCTACACCTGCAAGGCCATCAACATTGCTGGAAGCACAGAGAGAAACTTTTACTTAGATGTATTGGGTATGTTACAAAAAAATGAGTTTAATTTAAAGTTATTTGGTAATAATATCCACTTATTTAGTGTTATGGATGTTGTCTTTTTACAAGCTGGTATTACATCTTATTATATGGTTTGCCTCCGCATAGTTCCTCCTACGATCATCGAGACAGTTGGGTCACGTGACCTCTCTGCCATCCTCAATCAGGAGATCATTCTGGAATGCAGGGTCAAAGGTGATCCCTTTCCCACAATTCAGTGGTACAAAGACAGGAAGTAAGTTACTCCACAAAGCTTTGTAAAGAACACTTTATACATCTGATCAGGAAAAAAACAAAGGGGTGAATTCACTAAAAAGTTGCACCTCTTTTGCATCTTATTCACTATCCACCCAAAACCCAGTCTAACCAGGCACTAAATGCACTGAATTAGCACTGTTCTGTGAGTTTGTTGTCTATGTTACATGCGCAAAAAATCTTTACTTAATCTTTAAGCAAATTAGGCTTATCATAGTTTCACAAAACACCTGCCCAAAACAATTAATGTTGTGCTTTTACCACTCATGCAAAGCAGGTAAATAAGTTTTGGCGTCCTCCATAACCCAGCACAGGTTTGGGAATTGTTGCCATAGCAAATTGCATTCTCCGCTAGATGTTTGCATCATTACCTGATTTGCTTAAATCCTTTTGTTAATCAGGTGCTAAATCAACACAGTGCATGCAAATAAATACTTGGAGGGGCGTAATTCATTTTCAGTGAATTCACTCCTGATTCTTATATTTTGAATAAATACTAAGAGAATTAGCATTATATGTCTCTGTCACTCTGTGTTTTAGGCCTGTGTTTTTGGGTGACCCCAATATTGAAGTTTTAAACAGAGGACAGCAGTTAAAGATAAAGAGTTCACATTTAGGTGATCAGGCACGATACCAGTGTAGTGCCACCAACGCAGCAGGAAAGCAGTCCAAGGATTTTAACCTCAGTATCTTTGGTAATTTTATTTGTACACAATGTCTTACTATGGGTTTTATGACAAAAGAATAAAAAATTCTAAATGCTAAATTTCTTTTCTTTCCATTCTACCCACTCACCAGTACCACCCAGTATTAAGGGAGGAAACATGTCTACTGAGGTGACAGTTCTGCTTGGTAATGTGGTGACTCTGGAGTGTGAGGCTCGGGGTGTGCCACTCCCTGCCATCACATGGTACAAGAACGGAGAGGTCATTCTGTCCAGCAGACAGGCCCAGTATGTGGACCGAGGGCAGTTCCTCAAGATCTCAAGAGCTCAAGTGTCAGATGCTGGACAGTACACCTGTAAAGTCACCAGTGTGGCGGGCACCGCTGAGAAAGTTTATGAGCTGGATGTCTATGGTGAGGACTCACAATCAAAAAAAATAATAAAGCACTCTTTAGCGTTTTGTTTTTTTATTTGTTATTAAAAATAATTTTTACTAGAGATTAATAAATAGTAATCAAAACTGTTATACTAAATACTACCTATTAAAAGTTTGGGGTAAGCTTTTCAAAAGTGTAAAACGTTTCATTTCCGAGCCTGTACATTTCTATAATCAATGTACATTTTTAGTTATATTCTATCTGCCTAGAAATAGTAACACTTGTTCACGTGTGCTCTTCCTTTTTTCCGTCATTCAGTCCCTCCCTCCATCACTGCTGGTTCTGATGGTCCCACAGACATGAAGGTTGTGCTCAGTAAATCTCTGATTTTGGAGTGTGAGACTGAAGGTCACCCTCCACCCTCACTGACTTGGCTGAAGGATGGTTCACCGGTGGCTGCTAGAGAGAACCTGCGTGTTCTGGAGCAGGGCCGCAAACTTGAAATCCTCAGTGCGCTTCCATCTGATGCTGGTCGATATGTATGCGTGGCTACCAGCGTTGCTGGAGAGAGGGAGATCAAATATGACGTCAGTGTCTTAGGTATATGCACACACATTTACATTTTTGTAGCGATCTATTAAAAGTCAAGAGAAGCCACCTGACCAGGGAGATAAAAAAACATAAGGTACTTTTAAATCTCCTGGCATCTCATCCTTCACGAATCAGGAACCTTGGTGTCTTGTGTTTTTGTGTGCATGAGCCAGACAGATCTTGTCTCGACCTGCACATTGATTTTCTGAGCATCTGGACACAATTAAGGTCCTAATACATGCATCCAACAGACCGCCGCAATCACTCAGTCCACGTTTGTGTTGCATCATTGGAATGTGATTGCAGGAAATCAACAGCAAAGTGTTTTATTAGCCTATAAACTGGTTAACAACAAATGAATGAAATGTATAAAAGATTCAGTGAGATTAATGAACAATGGTAGAGGCAGTATCCGATGATGTGACCCAAGCATGTGGCATTCATTAACTCTCTGTGTGTTTTCATTATGTGAGTTTGTTACACATTATTTCAAAGACACATGCATTGATTCGTGCATTGTTTGGTTTACGATTCCGGAGATGCTGTAGTGTCTGACCATCATTTTTGTTTGTGTGTATTCAGTTCCTCCTGTTGTGGATGGGGCAAGTGAAACCACAGATGCCACGGTCATCCTCAACAATATCCTAGAGCTTGAGTGTTACGTTACAGGCACACCTACGCCAACCATCACGTGAGTACACATGCACTCAAATTCACACATATCCAGAATTGAAAAGTTGCTCATTCGCATCTGTCTCTCTGAAGGTGGCTGAAGGATGGCGTGCCAGTGAGGCAGGGTGAAGGGGTGCGGATAACATCAAACCAACGTCGTTTGGTCATCTCACGTGCTCAGGTGTCTGACACAGCGCTTTTTCACTGTGTAGCGACTAACGAGGCTGGAGAACAAGAGAGAGAGTTTAAAGTATCTGTACATGGTAATGATAATTTTATATTTTAATTAAACATTTTTATTTATTGCTAATGTGTTTGATGTTTGCATCTTCTGCTCACAGAGGGAAGGTCAAAGGTGACTTTTTTTAAGTTCCTCATTAAGTTTTTTTAAAGTTACAGACACATTTCAGGTACAGTACTTTTATGGTAAAATTTCATTATTTCTTTAATATTTTTCTGTCAGTCCCCCCAACTATCCGTTCTACGGGTCCAGCTGAGAGGTCTGTGGTCCTCCACACATCAGTCAGCCTTCAGTGTGTGGTCAGTGGAATTCCACCTCCCAGCATCACATGGCTCAAAGATGGTCGTCCTGTGGACACCACACAAGAAATTCTGAAGGTCAGACTTTAAAGCACGACAGAAGCCTTCCAAAGTAAATCAAGTGTTTGAGGAGGTTTACATAACCACATATACCATCGACTCTCTCTTTATCTCTCTGTCTGGCATGTAGCTGGAATCCGCAGGCAGGATTTTGCACATAAAGAAGGCCAGGCTGGAGGATGCTGGGAAATATACGTGTGTGGCAACTAATGCAGCAGGCGAGGCACAACAGCACGTTCGCCTCAATATGCATGGTAGGAAATATACTTAAAAAAAACAAGATGGCACAGACATATTAACTTCATAGTTGAAGTTGACTGTGTATACTTCAAAAACCTGTCCAAATCAAAAGAAAAAAATAATTAATATTTTGCATAATGCCAATTTTTATAACCATTGATATTTTTTTATATTATGATTACTTTCATGACAATTAAACACAATTGCACACATTTACTCATCATCTCTTCCCAATAATGTGAAAAACAACTCATTATTTTAATTTAAAATAGTTTTAATTATTATAGTATAATTTCAGGATGCACAATATTATCGTAACGTAATCGGAATCGGCAGATAAATGTAAATATCGGCTTCAGCCCGATATGAAAAATTATGCCGATATGCCTTGCCGATAGGACAAATAACTCACATGTGCTCAGGGTGTGCTATCACGTCAGCAGTGTGGTCATTCTTGAATCAAAACTTTTTCCTGAATGATGATTAGATTCCCTGTTTTGGATTGCCGCATTTAATCTGAGAATGCAAGTACAGAATGACTCGTCCTTTGTGTATAGTGTCAGCAGTCACTAGCATGTACAGTAGCAGCAGCGGCAGCCTCCCCCGGCTCCTAATGCCCATTCGGTAAGGAGTTTAATTTACTTAGGGGGCGCTGTTGGCCTAATTGTAATAAAATGAAAGTAAAATACACAAATAACATTTAGATTGTGTTTCTGATTATATAAAACTATGGAATGATATTCCGGACTATATTTAAAAGGAATTGCAAATTGTGTTTGCAATTGTGTTTTCAATTTGTGGACGCATACATTGAGACATAATCTAAATGCAATTGCAAATCGCGCATTCGTTTTTCTATTTCCTTTTCTGTGTATGTGTATAGTTCCGTGTATAGTTGATTTATAGTTATTTTCAAAGCTTTCAGTGTGCTTTCAATATAAAAGTACTTCATTGTCGTTTATTTAATTCTAACAAGTACGTTTTTGTTAAAAACATACAAAACTAACAAGTACGTTTTTGTTAAAAACTTACCCAAAATAAAAATAGTTTGTTTATAATCTCTGCAGAGACTTGGTGTTGTTTCCAAACAAAAGGAAATATATCGGTATCAGCATCGGCTATTGGCCAGAATGAGCTGAAAAATACCGGATATCGGCAAAAATTCAATATCGTGCATCCCATGTATAATTGCAAGTTTACGTTATGTTGTTATATGCTGATTTAACAAAAAAAGACTATTACAGTGATGAGTTTTTTTTATTATTGATTTATTTATATTTATGTATTTTATTTATTTTTATTTATTAATCTATGCTTTTCATTTATATATTGTCAAAATTGACCTAAATATCCTTAACATGCATTTCATTAAATAACTATGTACATGTATTTTTATAGAACCTCCCAGCATCCAGTATGCAGGAGAGACGCTCAATGAGACTATCCTTGCTGGCTTCCAAATTCAGCTGAAGTGTAAAGCAACAGGAAGTCCTTTGCCAGGTGAGTCATACCACATTTCCTCTTTTTTTTTGGGCAATATTAAATTCGAACTGGCTAGTAATAGTTTACAAAAGTACAGGTGTTGTAGTTTCTTCTCTCATGCCTTTTCTTCTGCAGCTGTGACGTGGTATAAAGACGGTCATCCATTGACAAGCGCTGCAGGAGTTAACATTCTGAGCAGAGGTCAGGTGCTAGAGATTGACCGTGCACAGGTGTCAGATGCTGGCCTCTACAAATGTGTGGCCATCAATGTGGCTGGCAGTGCTGAGCTCACATACAGTCTGCAGGTGTATGGTGAGTGTGTTTTTCTTCACTAAACAACCTTTCAGTCAAAAGTGGCTATGTAAAAAATACTTATTTTTTGGTTTTGATTATCTAACGCTCTTTGTCTTTCTCCATTAGTTTCTCCTTCTGTTTCTAGTAAAGGAGGAATGATAACAGTGGTGGTGAATGACCCAGTCAGGTTAGAGTGTGAAGCCTCAGGAGTTCCCGTGCCCAGTCTTACTTGGCTCAAAGAAGGCAGCCCTGTCTCCAGCTTTTCAGATGGCATCCAGGTCTGTATGTGTGGGGATTTGGATGCTGTCGTGCATATATAGCCATATATATTCACACTTAACTTTACTTAAAAGTTTTGAACAGGCTATATCAGTTTTCAATTTCCTCTTTTACTAGGTATTGTCAGGTGGCAGGGTGTTATCATTCGTTAGTGCACAGGTCAGTGACACAGGTCGTTACACTTGTGTTGCTGTGAATGCAGGTGGAGAACAGCACCGAGAATATGACTTACGTGTGTACGGTGAGCTCAGAAGACACACTCACTCTAAACCTGATTAAATCTTGATTCTTTTGAAATTCTTCTGAAATTTTTATCCAAGAATCCTGAAAAAAATGTATCATGGTTTCCACAAAAATATTAAGCAGCACAACTATTTTCAACATTGATAATAGAAAGAAATGTTTCTTGAGCACCAAATCAGCATATTAGAATGATTTTTGAAGGATCATGTGACACTGAAGGCTCGAGTAATGACTGCTGAAAATTCAGCTTTGCCATCACAGGAATAAATTACAATTTAAAGTGTATTAAAATAGAAAACACTTATTTTAAATTCTAATGATATTTCACAGCATTACTGTTTTTGCTATATTTAAAAAATTCAGCCTTGGAGAGCATAAGAGATTTCTTTCAAAAACATTTTAAAAAAATCTTACAGACCCCAAACTTTTAAACGCAAGTGTTTATCTGTGTGTTTGTGTATCCTTCAGTGCCACCCAACATCATGGGTGAGGAGGTGAACCAAACAGTTATGATGGGTCAATCAGTTCAGCTGCATTGTCAGAGTGATGCCATCCCTCCACCTGCATTGAGCTGGCAGAAAGACGGTCGATCGCTCTATAGAAAACCAGGTCTGAGCCTGTCAGAGGACAGCAGCTTACTGAAGGTACAGTACATCCATGAGCCTGTAAGTTTTGACCTGGGCCAATAAGCAACTACCTATCAACCACCCAGACAGCCCTAGCAGGCCGCTAGCAACACCCTAGCAACCACCCAGAATAACATAGCAACTACATAACTACACCATGTAAATTAGCTGCAACACAGTTTGGGTGTAAAAATCTTGTTTAAATGGTTTGAATTTGGCCTATTTGTAGGTTAAAATGAGTTTCTTCATCCTGTGCTACAATAGCAAGCGAAAGGCATCTAGGATTATTGTCCTTCTAATTTAAGAAGAACCCTAAGATATTGATTTGATAATTGTTTTGTGTTTGCAGATTAACAGTGCTCAGGTCCAGGACACAGGCAGGTACACGTGTGAGGCAACCAATGTGGCAGGAAAAACTGAGAAGCACTATAACCTAAATGTGTGGGGTGAGTGATTGAAAATATAATTGGAAAATATACTCTGAACTTGAATCAAATTATAATGTAAACTGTTTTTCTTTCTCCCTCTGTTATTTGTTTCCCCCCCAGTTTCTCCCAGTATCCGTGGATCTGATGAGGTGTCTCCTCTGACTGTGATTGAGGGCGGCCTCATCACGCTTGTGTGTGAGTCCAGTGGGATCCCTCCTCCCAGTCTCACCTGGAAGAAAGATGGTGAGACTTAACATCATCACCATCCTCATAATATTTATTGTCATTTTCATGATCCTTAAGGTATTTTAACAAACACCTAACACTATGTTTTTTAATTACCGGTATTTTATGTGTGTCTCAGGCTTAGAGCTAAAGGGAGACTCTCGTGTACGTGTTCTCTCTGGTGGGCGTCAGCTGCAGATTTCCAGGGCTGAGAAGGCAGATGCTTCCTCTTACACCTGTCTGGCCTCCAGTACAGCTGGCAGTGCAATGAAAGAATACATTCTGCAAGTTTACGGTAAAACTTCTCTCAAATGGTTCATTACAGGCACTAACACTCAAACTAGGACTGGACAATAAATAGATATTGTAGATATTTCAGTTTCTGCTGTCTCTCCATATAAAAGATACTCCGCATAAACTTCACAAGCATTTTACATTTTCATTTGATAAAAGATATCACTAAACACACTGATACTCAAAGGTCTCCACAACAGACCACCAAAATATGGTCTGTTGGTTTCAATAAAGATGAAACCTAAACTTTAAGATATTGAACTAATTATGACATAAATATATTAGTTATCTTGTAAAATGTACTTCCCAAATTTAATAATAATACCAATTATACAGTTTCTTAAACAGTGCATCTCCCTTCCTTTACTCTAAAACAGTTCGTCCCTCCATCAGCTCCTCAGCTCAGGATCAGGAGACAGTGACGCGAGGTGGAGATATCACTCTGCAGTGTGAGGCAGACGGCATCCCCAGACCTGCCATTTCATGGATGAAAGACGGTAGACCCCTGAGCAGGGCTCAAATACTTAACGAGGGCAGACTTTTACGCATCCAGGATGCTCAAGTGGCCGACACCGGACGATACACCTGTATCGCTGTAAATGTGGCAGGACAGGCTGACAGGAAATATGATCTCAATGTTCATGGTGAGAAAAAAAGTTAAAGTTTGTTTCTTTATGTGTAGTTTTTCTGAGCCACCAGTATCATCAAATGGAATTGCATAGAAGGTTATCCATAAAAATTCATCATTATTATTTTTTTATTTTAATTATTTTATTAATTATTCATTTATTTTAATGTATTTTTTATTGTTACATTAATTATTTTGTAACTATTGTTCATAATACTACTTATTTGGTATGTATAGTGAATTTTTTAATGTCATTCACATATATTCACATTTGATATGTATAATCTCTTCAGTTCCTCCCACCATCATCGGACAGACGCAGGTGCCTGAGAACGTGAGTGTTGTTGTGAAGAACCCAGTTGTTCTCACTTGCGAAGCTTCTGGAATGCCACTACCATCCATCACCTGGCTCAAAGACGGGCAGCCGATTAGCGCGTCTAGCTCTGTTCGGGTCATCTCAGGTGTTAATTTCTTCTTCAGTGAATGCATTTGTCTTGATCCAAAATGTCTACACCACAGAGTCTAGGTATAGAGCCCAGTACCAGTTAAAGGATTAGGTTAACCAGGTGTAGTAACTCAAATGGGTGCAACAAGATTGCTTCAGTAAGCAGCCAAATGCCACAGATCAGTGGCTAACTGAAAAGAAAAACATCTAGACAGATGTTCCTGTATTTGAACATGCAAAGACTCTCCATTAACAGCTTTCATTGTAAATAGAGACTGATCCTCATGTATGAGGTACAGTACATCCATCACTGTAACTGCTGAAAATGAACCACACTGTAAATGAAACGGTGCTGAGCTATTCTCCGACTGTCCATATGCATGCCACAGACAAGACATGACACTGGACAGAAAACAGGAACAGAATATGAAGGATAGGCACATTATTTGTCACATATCCACTGAGGATTAGAAGTGTTGCTAGCCTTATTGCCAATATAGCAAAGCTCATCCACAGTACTGTATAACATTTCTGTCTGACCACAAACTCCTTTCCTCATTATAAGAGAAAGGGACACCAGGAAAGGAAAGAGAGGTATGTATTTGTTCAGGTGATCAGCTTAGCACTCTCCAAGGGAGTGATAATTATTCGTTTAAAGAGTGAAAATGGGACGTCTGACTTGTGTTGACAGGTTAAGCCCTGTTTGAACAGCTGTTCAACTTGAGGTCTCTCATTTCATACCAAACAATAGGGACATTTATGAAGCCTTTTTTCTGAGACAAAGTGAAACTCTGAGCTTGCTCATTTATTCATTTTGCAGATGTATCTATCCTCTGAGTAAATCTCACACTCTTGATTTATGGCTGATTAAGTAATTCCCTAAGAGAAGTATATGCGTCCTTTTACAGTAACTCAATGTGCAGAAATCATTCCTCTCATTCAGCCACCTGTGAGTCTGATATATATCTGTAATCGTCTCAGGTGGACGAGGCCTGCGTTTGATGCATGCAGCAATTGAGGATGCTGGGAGATACACCTGTATCGTGTCCAATTCTGCAGGAGAGGAGAGAAAGAACTTCGACCTAAACGTCCTGGGTAACACAGTTCTATACATGGGACAGTTTTGAAAATTTAGTTGTTTTGTGTTCATAAATGAACACAGCTTTTATGAATTTAAGCCTAAATACAATTGCCAGTAACTACACCACGTCTTGAAATCATTCAGGAACGAAATACCACTGTGTTGATCAAAGAGGCAATGGTTCTGCTGTGACTGTTTAAAACTCTTTTCAGTTTGCTCAGAATAGAGCAAAAACATTAATATTTATAATAGTGTGTCACTTTATAATATATTAAATCTCACTAGACTTTGAAACTTTTTTAATTTTTATTCTGTCAACCTCAGTGCCGCCCAGCATTGTAAAAGAAGGCACAGTGGAGGATGTGAAAGTGAAGGAGAGACAGAACATAATTTTGGCCTGTGAGGTCACTGGTAAGTGGCAGAAACCACAAGACTACCTTGCTTATCTAGATTTGGGTTGATCTCTTTCCTCTTGTTAACCATTTTTTTGGGTGGTCTAGGTAATCCAGTGCCAGAGATCACATGGTTGAAGGATGGGCAACCACTGGCTAGTGACTCAAGGCTGCAGGTGATGTCAAATGGGCGTTTCCTGCAGATTAGTGGATCACAGGTGGCCGACACTGGCAGGTATAGCTGCCTGGCCTCTAACAGTGCTGGAGACAGGCAAAAAAGTTTGTGAAGCACCAACTTTAACGAGCATGTCTCCCTCTAGTGGTTGCTTTATATATTATCGTCTGGATCTCATTTTCAGCTTGTTGTAAAACTTTTATCTGTGGATTTTGTACCATAATCTTCAGGCTTTATCCCTGTCTATAATAGTAAAATCCTGTCTGTGTCTTAGTTCCCCCTAGTTTCAGAGGCTTTGGAGACTCTGACCCTGGTAATAATGGAGACGTGAAGGATGTGATTCTTAATAATCCCATCTCCCTATACTGTGAGACCAATGCCGTCCCACCTCCCGTACTCACCTGGTTCAAAGACGGACATCTGCTGACCTCTAATGATAAAGTACTCATCTTACCTGGTGAGTGGCTAAAAAGTGACATTTTCATTATATAACATGGTAAAATTATTTGTTAAATATATTGATGCTTTGATACTATGTTGTGTATGAGTGTATAAGAATTTAATATGCTTTTGTGTCTTTATTTCTTACACAGGTGGAAGAGTCCTCCAGATCCCTCGAGCCCAAGCAGAGGATTCTGGAAGATACACTTGTGTGGCTGTAAATGAGGCTGGAGAAGACTCAATCCAATATGATGTTAGAGTGTTGTGTGAGTCCAACCTGAGTATTAACCTTTCTTTCTTAGATGCTAAACATTACAAAAGCAACAACTGAAACTATTGTGTATGTTTACGACTTCTGATCTTTTAAAGTCAACTTTTATAAATATATGCTTGAACTTTTCAGTTTCTAAGCTATTTTATTGAGAAATCACAGAACAGTGTTGACAATACATTTCCGCGCTGAATGATTCTGTGTGCGCGATGTACGAGCTACGGTCTGTAGCCTATGTGTGTGCGTTACAGTGCAGCAGCGCATTAGATCAGAACGGTGATTAACTTACCTGTACAATAAGCTGTTTAAAACATGCATTCTCCTGTTCAATTTCGAGCATCCAGAAATACAAATACAATGTCTTGCGGAGTGCTTTCAGAGTATGCATTTTTTTTGTCATTTTAGCTGTTTGGAAATGGAGTGTAAATGTGGAAGTCCTTCAAAGATGTATTATCCTGTTGCACCCTCTATAGGACCAGCGACTTCAAGCTTAAAGCGTCATGGCAGAGAATTGAAGTCGACTAATCGATTAGACGGTGCAACCCCTAATGTGTACATATGTGTGTCTTTTTTTTTTTTTGTGCTCTTGGATCTTGATAGTACCGCCCTCGATTCGTGGAGCTGATGGTGACCTGCCTGATGAGATCACAGTGCTGGTTAACAAGACCACATTACTGGAGTGTCAGGTGGATGGGAGTCCCACTCCTAAAATCAGTTGGATCAAAGACAGTAAACCCCTTACCCCAGACAACACACACAGACTTCTGTCCAGTGGCAGGACACTGCAGGTGAGAGACAAATCAACTGTGATGCAACAGTTTTTTATTTTTTATTAAATTATTAAATGTATTTTTACACACACACACACACACACAAACATACATGTGTATACATGCATATATATATATATATAGTTTGCATTTTGTGTGTGTGTTGCAGATTTTGAATGCACAGGTGACAGATACAGGACGTTATGTGTGTGTGGCTCAGAACTTAGCCGGAACAGCAGAGAAGTCCTTCAACCTCCATGTGCATGGTGAGTATATCTTTGAATAAGACCTATGTCATGGCTCTGTTCAGCGATGCAGGTCAAATTGACCCCCTTTTCCTAGCAGTTTACAGCTAAGGTTTTGCTGCTTTTTAATTCACATTTAGATTTATTAATTTCACAGACGCTTTTGTCCAAAACAACTTACATTTCATTTAAGGTGTACATTTTCATCTATGAAGACTTTTTCAACTCATAATTGGTGATATCATGTTTGTTTGTGTTTTTTTGTCAGTTTCTCCTTCCATTGTGGGCATCAGAGAGGAGAATGTGACAGTAGTGGTTAATAACTTCATATCTCTAAACTGTAAGGCCACTGGATTCCCACCTCCCACCCTCAGCTGGTTCAAAGACAGGAAACCTGTACAGGCCAGCTCTAATGCACTCATAATGCCTGGTACATGTGCACACAAATATGCTTCCTGACACATAATAGAGGGACTATGTAGTGTAGCCTGAATACATATTACACATAAATTGCCTTTCCTCTAATCCACCTCTTACTGTTATTCTCTGTCTCTAGGTGGTCGTACTCTCCAGATCCTGAAAGCAAAGATGTCTGATGGTGGGAAATACAGCTGTGTGGCCATCAACCAAGCTGGAGAAGCCCAAAAACTCATTTATCTTACAGTATATGGTTAGTGTGTGTGTGTGTGTGTGTATGTGTGCAGTGTTTGTGTTAATATTTGCTAGGTATAAACCTGGAGTAAAGTATATCTCTGCAAAAATGTTCAAAAATATTTAGTGGAGTGAGGCATTTCATTTCATCAACTAAATATTTAATATTTTAACATTTCTCAGATATCACTGATTTAAATTACTGGTGTCTGATTTCCCAGTTCCCCCTAGTATCAGACACAGCAGTGGGGATCTTCCAGTGGTGTTAAACGTCCAGGAGGGCAAATCAGTTACTCTGGAGTGTGAATCTAATGCAGTGCCTCCTCCCATTATTACCTGGTACAAGAATGGACGTCCCATCACTGAGACTGCCAACCTGCGCATACTGGCTGATGGTCAAATGATAAAACTGAGAGAAACAGAGGTGTGTATGAAAAAAATAGCAGGTGTTAGCTTTGAATTAGGTTTGATTTTGGCTTGGTGATAAAATGGGTGAAAAAAAATCCCACAGAGACTTAGAGCCAGTTAGCATCCACTTAGAAACCACCTAAAGCACCAACTGTAACTGCCTTAGCTTTAGCTTGGTGGTGAGTTTTGTACTGTATGTGCAAGCACCATTTACATTTACTTAAAAAATAAAGATAAAAATATTTGTTTCAAGAAATATAAATGCCTCTTTCTCTCTGTCAGGTGTCAGATACAGGCCAGTATGTCTGTAAGGCCACAAATGTAGCAGGTCAAGTGGACAAGAATTTCCATCTCAGCATCCATGGTGAGAAACAAAACATTTATATTATAAACATATAAATATATTAATAAATATATTTTGTAACAATATAAAAGTATTTACTGTTATTTTTGTTATTTTAGTGCATTCTTGCCTAATAAAATTTTAAAAATCTTACTGACCCCAAACTTCTGTCATTATGGTTTTGTTTAGCCTACTGCTGTTCATGTTAAGTCTCTCTGTAATCTTTGTGCAGTTTCCCCACGGCTGGACGGCCCAGCAGTGGAACGTGTGGTGGAAACCATCAGTAATCCCGTCACTTTCGCCTGTGATGCTACAGGGATCCCTCCACCCTCGCTCACCTGGTTGAAGAATGGCAGAGTTATTGGTGAGATAGACAATCTACAGATTTCTTAACCTTTACATTTCTTTTCAAATCAACTTATGCTTGTTTTTATTGTCTTTCTAGAGAATTCAGAGTCTCTGGAGATGCATATCCTGTCCGGGGGCAGTAAGCTGCAGATTGCCCGCTCACAGTTATCTGACAGTGGCACTTACACCTGTGTGGCATCCAATGTGGAGGGCAAGGCCCGCAAAAGCTACCATCTTACAATACAAGGTACAAGAAAGCATTAATAAATATAAAATTTTTTTTTTTTTTTTGCTAGACCAAATTACCATCTGTATTGTGTGTTATTCAGTCCCACCGAACATCAAAGGATCTGAGTTACCTAGTGAGATGAGTGTTCTGCTGAATGACAGAATCCAGCTGGTTTGCCGTGCTGAAGGAAATCCAACCCCTGAGATCCAGTGGCTGAAGGATGGAAAGACACTTAGCAGAACTGCCCAAAAGAACATTGAGTGAGAGCAAATTTTTGTGTCATTATGCTATTAAATTATCCAGTGTGTTCTCAACCTTCATACTCCTTTTTTTAAGTATTTTGCTGTAATGAGAAAATACAAGTCATAAACCCATCCTAAGTCCATATTTTTTTACAGAATCAGCCCTGATGGCAGTACACTGACTGTAACAGCCGTCCACACATCCAACAGTGGAAAATACACATGTGTGGCCACCAATCAGGCCGGAGAGGAAGACCGAATATTTAACCTAAATGTCTATGGTGAGTTGTGTCTTTACATGACTCGTCACTATTAAGAGCAAGAGGTGGAACAATATTTTTCACTACACAACAATAGTCTTTTCCCAGAAATTTGACAGCTGTATGTCTTGTTCCCAGTTCCTCCTCTGATCCAGGGGAACGGGCCTGCTGCCAAGGAACTGAGCGCGGTGCTGGACAGCTCAATAAATATTGAATGTGTAGCTAGTGGTTCTCCGCCTCCACAGCTCAACTGGCTGAAGAATGGTCTGCCACTTCCAGTGTCATCTCAGATACGACTGCTGTCTGCCGGCCAAGTCCTCCGGTAAGAGATCTAACAGATTTTAAACATGATAATCCCAGGGTGGGAAATTAAATTTTTTTCTCCTCAGCCACACCTTTCTTAAATTTCTTACATTTAAGATGAAGGCTTACATTTCACAAGCCATTTTTATTTAAAACATGTAAAGTAACTCACTACAAATGTGAAATTGAACCAGTGTTTTTTTGTATTATTTATAAAGTATATTATTTATTAATAATTTTAATTAACCTTTATTTTTATATTTTCAGTTCTCATTTTAATTTTAGTTTAAGTTTTAGTAATTTTGTTGTGCTTTTTAGTATTTTTTTTATATTTCTATTTAGCTTTCTATTTATTTATTGTATTTGTTTTAGTCATTTTAGTACTTTAACTGAAACAGTTATTTCAGTTATTTGCCAAGGCAACATTTCTGTTTTATTAATTAGTTCTTCATCTTATGTCTGTATTTTATTTCTGCTTTATTTCAGTTAACTGACATTATTTGCAATAGCTTTTGTTACAATAACAACACTGAACTGCACACTTTCACAGAGTACAAAAACTTCAACCGAGTGCAAAAAGATTCAATTCTGTAATTTTTTTTTATTCTTATTGAGTACATAGTCCAGCTGTAGTCCACTACAATGGTTGGTGGATAAGGTACTTATCAAAGAAGTACCCGCATTTCTCTGGTGGCTGGTGTTAATATCCCACCCTGAATAGAGCTGATGATTCATAATACTAAATGCTTGTCATCTGATTGTAATTTTCTGTGTTAGAATTGCTCGTGCACAGGTTTCAGATGGAGGTAGCTATACTTGTGTGGCCTCCAACAAAGCTGGCGTGGACATCAGACACTACAATTTACAGGTGTATGGTGAGTTAATCTGTCTGTATTTCCAAAGATCAAATTTAGGTGCATTTACAGTGATAACCTTCATTTTAATAACAAATTTTACTTCATTTTATAACAAAATCTCAATTTTTTTACTGTTATGAAGTACTGAATTAATTCATTGAGAATTAATTAATTAAATTATTTAATTTTCTCATTTTTCTCAGTTCCTCCCAGTTTGGATGGGGCAGGCAGTACAGAAGAAGTAACAGTTGTGAGGGGAAACACAGCCTCATTCATCTGCATTGCCGATGGGACTCCCAGTCCGACCATTACTTGGCTGAGGAATGGTGCAGCAATGCCTAAACATGCTCACCTGTCGCTCCTCAACCAAAACAGCACCCTGCAGATTTCCCATGCAAGAGTCAACCACACAGGACGCTACACCTGTACTGCACATAATCAGGCTGGATACACAAGCCGCCACTTCAGCCTCAAAGTATTGGGTGAGAGAATGTGCAACAAAACAAAATGACTAGTTTAACTCCTTCTGTTACAGACTCATTGACATCTATCCCTGTCTCTCAGACCCTCCACAGATCAACGGCTCTGGTGTGCCTGCTGAGGTCTCTGTGGTTGTGAATCATATACTGGAGCTGGTCTGTAAAGCTGATGGCATACCTTTACCCACACTGACCTGGCTGAAGGATGGGCGGCCACTGCCTCAGACAGATAGTATACGGCTCCTCAGAGATGGAGAGGTGCTCAGAGTTGCTTCTGCTCAGGTAAGAACTAAAAATGTGGTGTCAAAATGGGCAGTAGCATTCATGTTCCTGTCTTGTCTTTGTTGTTGCACAAAGTGGCACAAGTGTTACAAATTCCTAAATCACATTGTGCTTCTTGAGCATGTTATTTCCCATGTTTATACCTTCTTCTGCTGACTTGCATGTAGATGGAGAACACTGGAAGATACACGTGTTTGGCCACCAGCCCTGCTGGAGATGATGATAAAGAGTTTCTTGTCAGAGTACATGGTTGGTCTTAAAAACAGTTCAAATGTTTTCCGTTGTTTCAAACTAAAATGGCACCTCACATAATTTGCTTAAAGGGGTCATATGATGCTGCTAAAAAGAACATTATTTTGTGTATTTGATCCGGCGATCCACCGCCCAAAGTTGTAGTATTTCCTCAGCAACCAGCACGGATCAGCTCCAGGCATGACGAAGCAGATATCGTTCTCTTTTGGAAGGCCAAACAAAGTAGTTTTGCTTTCACAATGAATCACACAGTGCCTTCACGACATGGCAGCGGCAACAACAATACTACAGTGAGAATGAAAGTTACACCTTCTTTCTTTGCATGAACATTTGGGCGGCGTTATGCAACTCTTCCCACATAGTGACGTAGGTATGTGGGGGCGTGTTAGAATGAGCCGTTTTAGGTAGGCGTGGCTGACTCTTAACTTTTATAAAGAATATCTCTTTGGATTTGAGACTTTAGTCTTTGCAACTTTACAGATATTCTTTATGCACCAAGAGCTTGTAACACTCCAAAGAGAAAAGAAAAATTTAAATCGCATCATATGACCCCTTTAACAACAATCTTTTCCAACAGTTCCACCCAACATTGCCGGTGACAGAGGTGTGCAAGATGTGTCTGTACTGCAAAACAGACAGGTGACCCTTGAATGTAAATCAGATGCAGTTCCACCTCCAACCCTCACCTGGCTTAAAGATGGAGCACCTCTGAAGGTATCCAATTAAAACAACATTCAATATTAAAACCTGGTAAGAATTACAACACTTACCAAAACCCTGATGTGACAGATGAGGTTTCACATGCATATAGCAGAAATTAAAACACCTGTATGATAAATTGCCTATGTTCCTCATTTGTAGGTCAATTTAGATAAACTCATCTGCTAAATGTAAAATGTGAATGTAGACATAATTTTTAGAGGTTTTCCTGTTTGTTGAAAGTGGTTAAGTGTCTTTTAATACTTTTTTGTATGTATTTTTTGAAGGCGAACAAGTTTTAATATTAGGGAAATTCTGCTCTTTTACTTTACTATTTTAAAGTATTATACATACATATACCTTTCAAAAGTTTGGGGTTGATAAGATTTTTGGGTTTGATGAAAGAAGAACATTTAATATTGTGAAATATTACAAATGAAAGTTTTTTTCTGTGCTGAATATTTCAGCAGCCATTACTCCAGTCTTCAGTGTCACATGATCCTTCAGAAATCATTCTAATATTGATTTGCTGCTCAAGAAACATTTCTTATTACAATCAATGTTGAAAACTTAATATGAAATGCTTAATATTTTTTGTAGAAAGTGTGCATCATTTTCAGGATGTTTTGATGAATAGAAAGTTCACAGCATTTATTTGAAATGGAAATCTTTTGTAACATAATAAATGTCTGTATACGTACTGTCTCTTTTGATTAATTTAATACATCCTTGCTGAATAAAAGTATTAATTTTAAAATTAATAAAAAAAAATCTTACTGACACCAAGCTTTTATTAAAAATCAGGTTTATTGAGCTAAATAGCTTTTTCAATGCTTTTTGTAGATGTCTCCAAGGGTGCGTGTTTTGTCCAGTGGTCGTTACCTGCAGATCAACAATGCAGAGCTGGGAGATGGTGCCCAGTACACTTGCGTGGCCAGCAATGTTGCTGGAGAAACCAGACGCCACTTCAACCTTAGTGTCAACGGTGACCAGCAATTTCTACATATAATGAGGCACCTGTGCAAGGAAAATACTGTGGGATTATGTGTATGAATGTGTATATGTTAATATAAACATTTTCTTTGCAGTCCCTCCCACAATAAAGGACGGTCCTCAGTCTGTGTCAGTACATATCAATCGCCCAGTGGTTCTGGAGTGTGTCGTGAATGGAGTACCCGCTCCACGCATTACCTGGAGGAAGCATGGATCCATCCTGGCAGGAAACAACTCCAGGTCAGCACTCAGCAGCACAGATCATTTAGAGCATTTCACAGCTCTCAGTTTTGTTCATAGCAAATAACAAACGCCCTATACGTTTAGATACAGGTTTGGTGAGGATGGTTCACTTCACATCCTCTCAGCACAGGTGACCGATACGGGCCGCTACCTTTGCATGGCCTCCAACCAGGCAGGCACAGAGCGTAAGAGAGTAGATCTGCAGGTTTATGGTGAGTCTTGAAATATATGCAGTGAACTTACTGAATCTTAAATGTGTCTGGTGCTTTTCATGTAAATTTACGCATTCATGCACTTGGCATATGCTTTTATCCAAAGCGACTTGCATTACACTCAAGGTATACAAGTTCATGCATTCTCCGAGTACTGAAGCCATGAGCTTGACATTGCTAGTGTCATGGTCTATTGTTTGAGCTACTGTTTGCATCACTGTTTTAAATATCTTGTTTATTAAATATCTTTGGAACTGTTCTGACATACAGTAAACACAAATGTTCTCTCTTACTCCAGTGCCACCCTCCATCACAGAGGGTCCCACTAACATCACTGTGACAGTGAATGTCCAGACCACACTATCCTGTGAGGCCACCGGCATCCCCAAACCCTCCGTTCGCTGGGCCAAAAACACTCAAGCCCTTAACACTGACCAGAACCAGAATATGTACAGGTTCAGCCAGGTTTCCTCCCTCTCCTCTTATCACCTCTCACTGTATCGCCAACCAAATGAGCATTACTCTTAGTTTGGGTCACAGTAGGACCCTGATGCTTAAAATTGCACAGTAAGACACTTGAGATTAACAGTTGCATCCAATTAATCAATTGGCAATCTGTCCTCAAATGCATTCTCCGAGTACTGAAGCCATGAGCTTGACATTGCTAGTGTCATGGTCTATTGTTTGAGCTACTGTTTGCATCACTGTTTTAAATATCTTTGGAACTGTTCTGACATACAGTAAACACAAATGTTCTCTCTTACTCCAGTGCCACCCTCCATCACAGAGGGTCCCACTAACATCACTGTGACAGTGAATGTCCAGACCACACTATCCTGTGAGGCCACCGGCATCCCCAAACCCTCCGTTCGCTGGGCCAAAAACACTCAAGCCCTTAACACTGACCAGAACCAGAATATGTACAGGTTCAGCCAGGTTTCCTCCCTCTCCTCTTATCACCTCTCACTGTATCGCCAACCAAATGAGCATTACTCTTAGTTTGGGTCACAGTAGGACCCTGATGCTTAAAATTGCACAGTAAGACACTTGAGATTAACAGTTGCATCCAATTAATCAATTGGCAATCTGTCCTCAGGTTGTTGTCGTCGGGCTCTCTGGTTGTCATCGCACCCACAGTAGAGGACACAGCACTGTACGAGTGTGTTGTATCTAATGAGGCAGGCCAGGAGAGCCGAGCCATTCAGCTGACTGTACATGGTGAATCCCTGCTTCCACATATGACATCCATGACATCAGTATGTGAATTTCAGGAGAATCTAACGTTTATTTCCCTCTACAGTTCCTCCTTCTATTGCTGATGAGGCCACAGAGCTGGTGGTGAGCAGGCTGGCCCCAGTGGTCATCGGCTGCACTGCCTCCGGAGTGCCTTATCCTGTCTTATACTGGAGCAAAGATGGATTGAGACTAGCTAAAGATGGAAAGGGCTATACGATACTGCCGTCAGGTGAGCTTTTTGTACTAACAGTGTGGAGAAAAAAATAACAATTGAAGTTTGAAGTTAATCTGAATGTTACGTTTCTGTTTCCTTGGTTTCTCTTAGGTCCTCTTGAGATCACAGCTGCAGATCTGAGTCACTCAGGCCGTTACTCTTGTGTGGCTAAAAATGCTGCCGGCACCACCCACCGACACGTTCAGCTCACAGTGCATGGTATGAGATGTACATAAACAATAAAACGTGCTTTTTAACAGTGCCACTTAAAGGGATAGTTCACCTTCAGTTGCTGGTCCCCATTAACTTCCATAGTGTGGAAAAAAACACTCAAGTCAACACTCAACACTCAAGTCAATGGGGACCAGCAACTGAAGGTTTATTTTTTCTTACATTATTTGTGGCTAATAAAATTGCATATAACAAATTCCCATGTCCGGCTCCACATTTATTTCTCTCTCATTTTTTGTCAGTTGGACATTTTTTTGATTTAATAATTGTCTGTTTTAATATAAAATAATTAATATTTTATAGAACCTCCAGTAATACAGTCACACCCCTCAACACTGGATGTGATTTTGAACAATCATGTGACCCTGCCCTGCAGAGCAACGGGCTCCCCTCGCCCAACTGTCACCTGGCAGAAAGAGGGCATCAACATCTTTACCAGAGGTGAGAACAAATGCTGCCACTGTGGGGATAATTGGCAAGCTCTCCATCTCTTTACAGTAGCATTTAATTGACTAAATTGACTTAATAATTGATTATTTAAATAAATATTTAATTAATGTAAATAGTTATTCTGTATAATCTACTTGATTATATATTGTTATATTGTATTACATAAATTACATTCAAAATTTTGGGATAAGATTTGTTTGTAATGTTTTTAAAAGTCTTTTATGCTTACCAAGGCTGCATTTATTTGATCAAAATAAATGTCTATTCTATTTCTATTCTATTCTATTTTAGTATATTTTAAAATGTAATTTATTCCTGTGATAAAAAAACTGAATTTTCCTCAGCCATTACTCCAGTATTTAGTGTCACATGATCCTTTTCAAAAAACAACAACAAAAATAACATTATTATTGATGTTGAAAACAGTTGTGCTGGTTAATATTTGTGTGTGCGACTTTGTTTATGATTATTTGATGAATAGAAAGTTCAAAATAACAGCATTTATTTGAAAAAAAATAAAAACTTTACTATCACTTTTGATCAATTTAAATAATCAGTTTATATTAAAAAAACTTACTGACCACCAAACTTTTGAATTTTAATTTAATTATTATTCAAAATGATTTTGAATATAATTATTAATTTAATTGTTTAATGCCTTTCATCATCAGGAGGTGATTTTACAGTGCTCCCCAATGGCGGACTGCAGATCTCTAAAGCCAGAGTGGAGGATTCTGGAACCTACATGTGTGTGGCTCAGAATCCAGCAGGCACTGCACTGGGGAAAACCAAACTCAGAGTGCAAGGTGAGAGTCACGCTTTGCCTGTGATGGAAGTTAAGATGTCTGTGGGAATTGGTCTATCAAATATTATAAATTTCCATTTTCTTGCAGTGCCCCCTGTCATAACATCTGACATCAAAGCATACATTGTGGCACTAGATGCATCTGTAACTCTGCAGTGTCACTCAGAGGGTTTCCCCACTCCCTCTATAACATGGTACAAGAACGGGCAGCCGCTGAGCGAATCGTTGCGGCAGCGAGTCCTGAGCACAGGGGCGCTGCAGATCGCCTTTGCCCAACCTGGAGACACAGGCAGATACACCTGCACCGTTGCTAATGTGGCTGGAACCACCAGTCTGGAGATGAGCCTCATTGTACAGAGTGAGTCAAGAGGATAGATGGATTGAATTGAATAAATGGTTTCACTGTACAGTGATTTATTGTAAAACTGAGATGATTTGAACTGATTGATAATATTGATTAATGCATTGGCTATCTGGAAGAACATCAATTAATATACTACTGCTACTACTACTACTACTAATAATAATAATAAAGCAATATAATAATTTCCAGAATATTAGTAAAATATATTTTTATGAATTGTTTACAAGTATTAGATTTATGTGTTTTAATAATAATAATAATAATAAGCAATATAATATTGGTAGAATGTCCATCCATTTATTTATTTGTTTATTTTCTCTCCCTCTCTACCTTAGTACCTCCTTCCATCCGTGGAGGAGAGTCAGAGGTGTCCGTGGTGGAGAACACCCAAGCTTTGCTCACCTGTGTGGCAGATGGAGTCCCACAGCCCATTATCACCTGGGAGAAAGATGACATTGCACTTACCAAATCCACCGGAGAATACACAATACTGCCCACAGGAGAGCTGCTCATAGACTCTGCACAGGTCAGAGTCCCTATCTCCAAGCTGCTTGTATTCAAAATGTGTACATACTGTGACAGTTTTCTGAGGTGTCTCTCTGTGTATGTAGCCTGAAGATTCTGGGAGTTACACATGTGTCGGAACCAACTCAGTTGGGCAGGACAGTCACACCATTGGTCTGTCCGTCCACACACATCCAGCCTTCACTGAGCTCCTAGGGGATGTGGCTCTCAACAAGGGAGAGCGCCTCCTGTTGACCTGCGGTGTCGCCGGCATTCCTCCACCAAAGATTACATGGGCATTCAACAACAATATCATCCCTGGTATAGATCATCCCTCTAACTGAGCCTACAGATATCCCCAATGTGCATCCCCTGTAGTTCACCACCATTAGTTAGCTGCATGTGTCAATAGATTGTTATATGAAAATCAGGAAAGTATTGTTTCTACCCACAGCCCATGCTAATGGCCACAGCGAGTTGGTGATTGAGCGTGTGAGTAAAGATGACTCGGGCACTTATTCCTGTGTGGCTGAGAACAGCGTGGGATCCATCAAATCTCTGGGATTTGTCTATGTAAAAGGTAAACATCTGCATTTTTGTTAAATGATGGCTTGTAAAGTCGAAAGGAAATCCATTGTGAAAAACCTAAATCTTTTGTCCACTTTTTCCAGAACCACCAATAATAGACGGAGATGTTCATTCAAATCGCATTGAGCCCCTGGGAGGGAATGCCATACTTAACTGTGAGGTACGAGGAGACCCTCTGCCCACCATCCAGTGGAGCAAAAAGGGCGTCAATGTGCAGATAAGCAACCGAATCCGTCAGCTTGACAATGGATCTCTAGCCATCTACGGCACAGTGGTAAACAAACACAGCACACGGGCAGTCACAGATACAGCTGCACAACTGAAAAACAAACTGCTCTGCATGAATTACCCAAAAATTTAAATTATTTTTTTTACTCATCATGTTTTTCCAAAACAAACTATTCCTTTAACTCTCTAGAATGCAAATCATATTTCAAACCAAAGGTAAAAGTCCCTCCCTAAGTCGATTACCTGCATAATTTTTTTCTGCTTTGTATAATAATTATAATTAAATAATTATTTAATAAATTAAATAATAAATATTAAATTAAATTATTATGTAATACTTTTCTTGCATATTTTTACCAAAAAATACTCGACCACTTGCAACCACAAAAAAAATAGTATTATTTTATGTTAATAGACTTTTGAAGATACCAACATTTTTATAGTAATGCAAGAGAGTTATTATGGTTACAAAAATATTTGCCATCAATCCAGGATGCAAAATTTGGATACTAAATTTTTTTTTGTATTTCCCCTATTTTAACATTCATTAATAAATAATGGGTCATTTTGTAATTTTTGTAGAGCGAAGATGCTGGAAGTTACATGTGCGTGGCCACAAATGATGCAGGAGTGGTGGAGAGAACAGTCACACTGACCTTGCAGCGTAAGTCTACAGTTCAAACCAAAAATGAAACCTTAAAATTATCCTTTAAAGTTTGTCATATGCAGTCGAAGTCACATAGAATACTTACACAGGAAATAAAAACCTTAATAATAATACTGATAAAATAGCACTAGCTTGTGTTACTGTAATAACATCAGTGCTGTTCCACAGGTTCTCCAAGCATCACTGTAGAGCCAGTGGAGACGGTGGTTGACACTGGTTCCACAGTGGTCCTTAACTGCCAGGCAGAGGGAGAGCCTGTGCCTGTCATCGAGTGGTCCCGTCAGGGACGGCCACTGTTGAGTAACGAGCGCATCACCACACTGAATAACGGTTCTCTGCGGCTCAGTAGTGCTCAGAAAGAGGACACAGCTGAGTATGAGTGCGTGGCCCGAAATCTGTTAGGCTCCGTGCTAGTGCGCGTGACCCTCACAGTGCGAGGTAAGCTGAACTGCACGTTTACATTTTTTAGCGAATGTTTAGACAATTAGAATGCAATCAGATGTATTATAAAACGGGGGTTGATTTGTGTTTTGCAGTTCACGGAGGCTTCTCTGAATGGATGGAGTGGGGAGCCTGCAGTGTTTCCTGTGGTACGGGAGTGCAGAAGAGGCTAAGACAGTGCAATAACCCATTTCCTGCGAATGGAGGACACCACTGCATAGGTTTAGCAACAGAAACACGCAGTTGTCAAGGCAAACCTTGCCCAGGTAAATTAGTTTGTCATACCTTTTGCTGCTTTAGCAGGGCTCTATATTGTGGGCATTTCACTTGCGTTTGTGGGTAAAAATTATGGGTGAAAAATGTATTTGTATAGCACTTTTCATAATACACATTGTTTAAAAGCAGCTTTACAGAAATTCATGATGTTAATGTTTATAATATATTTTAAACAATAGTTTATGTGCATTTAATATATGATACAGTATATTGTTAACATGTTTTAATAACTGTCATTAAAACATTCTTTAAAACAGATTCATGCATTACTGTTCCAATGTTTGGGGTCAGTAAGATTTTTTTTTCAATTAATAGATTTATTTGGCAAGGACACATTCAATTGAATAAAAGGTGACAGCAAAGACATTTATAATGTTACAGGAGGTTTCTATTTCAAATCATGTTCTTTTGAACTTTCTGTTCTTCTGTAAAAAAATACTGTAAAAAATGTTTGTAGTAATATTTTAGTCTTACTGTTTTTACTGTATTTTTGATCAAATAAACATAGCTCTGGTATAAGCATACAAGACTTCTTTCAAAATAACTTTACCAACCCGAACTTTTAAACTGTAGTGCTATATATATTTCTTGAATAATTAACTTACTTGTTAAGAAAGGATAAGACTTATGAAGTTATTGTAAAGTGGTAGAAATATATATAAAAAAATAATTTTTGTTCTCCTAAACCAAAAAGAAAATAGTGTAGAGACATGTTTATACTGTTCTTCATCTCTTTCTCCCCATAGTGGATGGCAATTGGTCTGAGTGGTCTTCCTGGGAGGAGTGCTCTCGTACCTGTGGTCAGGGTAACAGGACTAGGGTGCGGACTTGTAGTAATCCTCCTGCCCAGCATGGAGGCAGAGCCTGTGAGGGCAAAGCAGTGGAAGCCATCATGTGTAGTATAAGGCCATGCCCAGGTGAGTGGAGGAACATATCTTCTCCTGCTTATGCATGGACATACCTGTCTTTATCACTCTGACTGGCTTCTTATCTGTCAGTGGCTGGGAACTGGGGTGCCTGGTTGCCTTGGAGCCCTTGTAGCGAAACGTGTGGCAAAGGAATGCAGACTAGGCTCAGACTCTGCAACAACCCTCCACCCTCATTTGAAGGACCGTCGTGTGAAGGACCTGACACACAGACACAAGTGTGCAGTGAGAGGAACTGCCCCGGTAAGTATCCTGGTCAAAGTAAATAATAGATACAGGTAAACGTATAAATGGTGACAGAATTAAAATTTTTGGCTGAACTGTTTCTTTAATATTCTTCTCAAATTGGTCTTTCTTCTGAAAGATCATAGTAATAGATTAACTTTATGAGGTCGGGCACATCCATTACTTCATGATTCATGTGACGGTATCAAATTTTCATAATGGATAATCGGTGGTTAATTGCTTAAGCTTATATCACGGTATACGGTATTATCACAATATTGAAATAAGTTGCAAAAATGTTGTCAAAATACAGTATAGCAGCTTATATAACTTTTTTCTGATAACAAAATTAACATTTAAATGCAATAAATGTTTCAAATGGATTAAAGTGCAAAAGAATTATAAAGAACAATAGGTAACACTTTTCAATAAGGTCTCATTAGTTAACCTTATGCACTTATATTAACATAGAGAAATAGCTACATTTGTTACAGAAATGTCTGTTTAAAAAATACAACTGTTAGTTCATGTTAGCTTGGGTCTATGAAATAATACAGTTACAAATTTTGATTTTAATAACATGTTATTAAATGTTGAAATTAAAGGTGCAGTAGGAGATCTTGGAAAATGCTAACTTTAGCCTGATAGCACTGAAAGTGAACGTCCCACCCTCCCTGCAATCGCCGTCCAAAGCCAAGCGTAAATTGTTGTAATATGCTTACGACTCGCGAATGTAATGCTCGGTTAACTAAAATAAACCAGGCTTGATGACATTTGCATCCTGCAAATGCGACCTCCGGAGAATGCACCCTTCCGTTTGAGAAACGGCCAACATTACTACCCTGCTCTGCACATTTCATATGTATCTCTTATCATGTGCGACGTTTGTTCTATTCGACTGTAAGTGCCCTGTGAAGTGGACATCACCGGATATTCCGCCATGATTCCAGTTCGAAACGAGTGTATATGTTCCATACAAAGGGCATTAAAGTGTGCGAGACGTAAATTTAAATAGTATTTATTTACAGTGGTATATTATGTCACAGTTTACACTTCTCTAGTAAGTTTCGTCTGTGTGTGAAGACGCTGCGCAGCGCAAATCTGTGAATGAATGTTCCGAAGTGAAGTAAACTTCAACAGATTTCCCCTGCTCAGTGAGTAGGGAGCAAAGAACACTGTGTAGGGAGCATGTCAATCGGACCACAGTTCATGCACGTAGCTCACTTCTAATGAGCTGGTTGGAGGACTGGAGGACGGCGCGAGGACTGGAAACGGGAACTGCTGGGCTACATCATGTGTCATTCACCAGTGAGAAAATTTTAAATTTTAAATTTAATTTATTTTTTAAAAGTTCTACAATACCAGGAAGGAAGATCGGGTTGTTGATGTTTGTCTGCCATTCTCAATCTGTCTGCACAGTGTGCGTGAACGTGCTGATGACGTATCCTGTCTGCGCGAACAGGGTGCGCAGAGGTAAGGCAAATACATAAGTTGACAGGCAGGTAGGAAAGCCAATTAAAACGCTCGGACCGAGCATTTTGATTGGACGAAAATTTCTTGGTTCTATGCCTTCCACAGAATATATAAATACAGATGTAACCCTTTCCTTAACCCTACACAGATAAATACACTTAGACCACTTAACTTAATGATTGCTAACGGGATGTGAAGAGACTTTCAACCAGCATAACAAAAACATTTTCTGAAGACAATCACCTATTGCACCTTTAACTAGGATGAATAATTTTAGAATATTTTTTCATTGGCAGTTTGTTAACTAATGAATTAACTAATGTTAACTAATGGAGCCTTAAAGTGTGACTGAACAATTAAGGATCAAAACATTTTCAAACAATATCTAGGGCATGTTGTAGTCCAGATTAGAATGTAAAAAATTTATTAAGTCTAAGTATTTATTAATTGGCGCTGCGATGAACCCCATAGTGAATACAAAAATCTGAGTGGCTGTTTGAAACATTTAAATCCTGTTCAGAAGTAGAAAGTAGTGCAGCTGCTTTGTTTACGGGATTACTGGTGTAACGGCTGCATTTCTGCTGTTCCATCAGCGCCATCTGCTGTCAGAGAGTGAATGTGGATTTTCATTCAGTGCAACTCCTTCACTCCTTCCGCCATGCACTTTTCATCAGTGTTCGGCTTGTTTACATCAGAGTGCGCATGCGTGTTTGACGCAGCATACAGCGGTATTGTGCATAAATAATTATGTATGGTATTTTGAAGTGCCTACGATAACAATATAATGCATGTTTATTATCGTGATATATCGTATTACCGAATACCAGCACATGTCTACTTCATGATCAATCAAATCCTGGTTTAAAAAGCATTGGCTTATCTTTTCTTCCCATTTTCAACAGTGGATGGCAAGTGGTCATCCTGGGTAAGCTGGGGGGCATGTAGTGTGTCTTGTGGAGGCGGTACACGGCAAAGGACGCGTGTCTGTGCAAACCCCGCCCCCCAACATGGGGGACGGCAGTGTGAGGGAAATGACATCCACATTGATTTCTGCAACAGTGAACCCTGTCCTAGTGAGTAAACACGTCACATATGTGACCCTGGACCACAAAACCAGTCTTAAGTGTCAATTTTTTGAAATTGAGATTTATACATCACCTGAAAGCTGAATAAATAAGCTTTGCATTGATGTATGGTTTGTTAGGATAGGACCATATTTGTCCTATTTGTTAGGATAGGACCATATTTGTCCTATTTGTTAGGATAGGACAAACAACTATTTGAAAATCTGGAATCTGAGGGTGCAAAAAAATCAAAATATTGAGAAAATTGCCTTTAAAGTTGTCAAAATTAAGTTCTTAGCAATGCATATTACTAATCAAAAATTAAGTTTTGATATATTTATGGTAGAAAATTTACAAAATATCTTCATGAAACATGATCTTTACTTAATATCCTAATGATTTTTGGCATAAAAGAAAAATCTATAATTTTGACCCATACAATGTATTTTTGGCTATTGCTACAAATATACCCCAGCGACTTAAGACTGGTTTTGTGGTCCAGGGTCACATATGGTAAACACAGACACATAATAAAGAAAGCAGTAAGTACAAATAATCTCTCTTCATAGTTCATGGTAACTGGGGCCCATGGAACAGCTGGGGAAGTTGTAGCAGAACCTGCAATGGTGGTCAAATGCGTCGCTACAGAACATGTGACGATCCTCGACCAGCGAATGGAGGGAGAGCGTGCACTGGATCAGACTCGCAAATCCAGAAGTGCAGCACAGCCAACTGCCCTGGTATAGCACTCTTACATACACTAAAGTTCAAAAGTTTGAGGTCGATGAGATTTTTTTTAACTGTTTTGAAAGACGTCTCTCATGTTCTCTTATGACTGCATTAATTTGATAAAAATACAGTAAAAAAGTAATGTTGTGAAATAATAATATTATAATTTAAAATAACATCTATTTAAAAAATATATATTTTGAAATGTATTCCTTGCATGGCAAAGCTATTTTAGCAGCCATTACTTCAGTCTTCAGTGTCACATGGTCCTTCAGAAATCATTCTAATCTTCTGATTTGGTTCTCATTAAACATTTCTTATTATTATTATCAGTGTTGGAAACAGTTGTGCTGCTTAATATTTTTCTGGAAAGAGTGATACATTTTTTCAGGATTCTTTTATGAATAGAATATTTCAAAAGAACATAATTTATTTGAAAGAGACATTTTTGTAACAGTGTAAAAGTTTTTACTGTCACTTTTGACCAATTTAATGCATCTTTGCCAAATAAAAATGTAACTTCTCCAAAAAACATCACTAACCCAAAACCTTTGAACAGTAGTGTATATTGTACAACGCACAAACACCCACACTTTCTAGTTCCTGTACATTAATAAATATACAAGAGATGCTGCATAAATTGTAGGTTATTATTGACAAGATTATTTGATTAGAACTTGAATGGCATTATTTGGATACATTTTTACTGTAACTGATTACACACCTTTCTGTGCTCTGTGTGTGTGTGTGTGTGTGTGTGTGAGAAGTTGATGGTAAGTGGGGTTCATGGGAGTTCTGGGGTGAATGTTCAGCATCCTGTGGAGGTGGAGAATGGACACGTGTCAGACTCTGTAACAATCCATCACCCAGCAACAACGGCCGCCCCTGCCCAGGAGACTCCACCCAGTTATCAAGATGTAATATACAGCCATGTCCAGGTACATTTACAGCTATGTATGTTTCTTAATCAAGACTTACATAATTTTTTATAAATTGTATTTATTTTTATTTATTTTCTTTTTTTCTGTTAATTACTTTCAGAAATATTATGACTCTTACCTATAAAATCAAATCAAATACAATACAGAACCCTTGTATTATTAGGCCTAGAATACAATGAGAGAACTTGACAACACACATTTTATACAACTATCCCCAACCACTGGTTAATGTCTGGCCTTGGTCTCAAGTAAACTACACAAGATATGATTGTCTAAACTTTTTCTTTTTTCTCTTCAAGGTGGCCCTCAGAAAGCCAGAGGAAGCATCATCGGGACCATTAATGATGTGGAGTTTGGCATTGCCATCCTCAATGCCACCATCTCCAGCAGTCCCACTGGAGGGAGAGTTATACAGGCCACCATCACTAACATACCCAGGAGTCTTGGTCAGTCTCTGCTTCTGAGTTTTTGTTATGAGCAGCAATGCATCATATTTACTATTTCAAAATGTTATACTGTACAGTATTTGTCATTATATCAATTATTTTGTTGTGTGGCAATGTTCTAATAGTTCTAAGACTATTCAGTAGTTCTAAGACTATTTATTAAGAACTAGAAAGAAAACTGTAGTTTGAGTTGGTGCTTGTATACAGTATGTTCTGCTAAACCATCCAGGCCCTGCTATGAGGAAGTTGATCTCCATCCTGAACCCCATATACTGGACCACAGCACAGGAGCTGAGTGAAGCTGTCAATGGTTACACTCTCACAGATGGCATCTTCAGACGTGAGACTCAGGTGGAGTTTGCCACAGGTACGAGGCGTCACATTGATGTATAGAGATCCTTAAAAACTTTTCCTCAAAGTTTTCCTCATTTAATTTGTATTTTGTTGGCTATAGGAGAAATTCTCAGAATGACCCATGTGGCACGAGGGCTGGACTCAGATGGAGTACTTCTGCTGGACATTGTAGTAAATGGGCATGTCCTGCAACTTCCATCCAATGCAGACATCAGTCTTAAGGTAGAACCTCCATCACTGAATTAATTGACTGTTATTTCTTTTTATACTTGAAAATATGATGTTATGCAGTATAAACTTTTATCACATTAAAATATATTTTTTAAACTCCAGGACTACACTGAAGACTACATCCAGACTGGCCCTGGTCAGCTATATGCTCTGTCCACACGCATGTTCAGTATAGAAAGGGTGAGCGTGCCTTACTCCTGGAATCATACCATCACATACAGACCCTCCAAAGGAAAGATGCCCTATCTGGTGCAGACTCTCCATGCCTCAGCTATCAGCGCTCTGTACCGTCCACTAGAAGAGATACTGGAGTTTGCCATCCATGCCACCATTGCTAAAGGTACAATGCACACACAGTCTGCATTAGGTAAAAAATCATTAGGTATGAATGATGTATCAGTCACTGATATTATATTATTTTATAAAAAATGGTATTGGAAGCAGATATCATGGCCTATTTTTTTTCAAAAAAAAAACCAAATAAATAAATATATATATATATATATATATATATATATATATATATATATATAAAATACAATGCCAAGTTCTAAAAATACTAATGTTTTAATGCCTGGTTTAAAATTTTATTAAATTGAATACAAACATCATATGCATCCCTAAACCTCATTAACAAATTGTAGCATATCATTATGATTTAATTACTTATTCAGTTCAAACTGTTATATTTAATAGTTTAAATGAGTTTTAAAACCTATCCCTCTCCTATTATGATGTATTTTCATCCTCAGGAGAGCGCAGTAATCAGTGTCCCAGTGGTTTTCAACTGGACCCTGCTGGGCCATATTGTTCAGGTACAGTCAGACTGTATTTAATGCTTTTACTGTGATAGAGATAATAGTATTAATTTGTGAATATACAAAGAGTTTCATTGATGAGATTCTGTGCTTATCCCTTTTTTGCTGATGAAGATGAGAATGAGTGTGTGGAGAGAAACCCCTGCTCACATGCCTGTCACAATGCTGTAGGCACGTACTACTGTTCCTGTCCCAGAGGACTAACCATCTCAGCTGATGGTAGAACATGCCAGGGTACAACAGTTTAAAAAAGTTTACCTTTGAATGGTAGTGTATGATATTGATATTTCTGAACTTCTCAACTGAGCAACTGCTTTCATTTATGTTTACCCTAGATATTGATGAGTGTTCATTGGGTGGTCACATGTGCCATAATGGACAAGACTGTGAGAACACCATTGGCTCCTATCGCTGTGTGATGCGCTGTGGGCGGGGCTTTAGGAGGACAGCAGATGGGCTGAGCTGCTCGGGTGCACAGTTTTTCCTAGTTTTATAAGTTTATGTTTGTATATTGCTGACGTGTGTATTTTTATATGGCATACTGTAATTTATATTAATGCTCTATTCATCATTATCTTCATTCTAGAATACATTTGAATTGCTTTAATCTTGCTTTTGCAGATGTGAACGAGTGTCAGGAATCCAACCCCTGCCATCAGCACTGTCTAAACACCATTGGCAGCTTCCGCTGTGCTTGTAAGCCGGGGTACCAACTAAGGAATCGACGCTGTATTGGTATGTTTAAAACCTGTCTCATGACATATTGCTCAGTCTTGCTGGGTTGGTAAAAATATGCAACTGTGCAACTAAAGTGCTGCTTGTTTCTCCTCAGACATAAATGAATGCAAACAGAGAGTGTGTCGCTCAGATCAGCAGTGTAAAAACACACGTGGTGGATACACTTGCATTGACCTCTGCCCTACTGGCATGACCAAAGGAGGCAATGGCACATGCATAGGTTTGTAATGCTGTTGTTTATGTTTTGGGCCGAGGACTATTGTGTTGCACAGTAAAATATTAAATATATTTATTATACAATTATAATTGTATTTTATTAAAATGACATTATGTATATATAAATCTAATTAATTAAACAACTTTAGTTTTTTATTTATACATTTATTTTTATATAATTGGATTATGATCAAAGATTAATTCATTTTTGTTCTGCTTACAGACATTGATGAATGCCATGACGGCACACATCAGTGCAGGTATAATCAGATCTGTGAAAACACAAGAGGTAGCTACCACTGCACCTGTCCGAGGGGCTACCGCTCTCAGGGTGTGGGCCGCCCCTGCCTTGGTACGTAGTCTAATTCCCCCACACCTAACTCTAATCCTCTCCCAACATCCCAGGCTGTTCTCCTGCCAAACACCAACCTGCATCCCTGCCTTCATTTTCATCTCCTTCACTCTTTTGCTACATTTCTGTGAACCAACCCTCACCTAAACAGCATTCAGAACATGTGATGTCACTTTCTTCCACACAACTTGGTTATGGTGCCACAGTGCTATTAAACTAACCAACATATAACCCTAAACATACATATAACATAAACAAGTAACTGATACCCAATCAAGGATCCAAGTCTTTGTATGTCTACATATGTAATTGTCAGTAAGGTGTTGCAAGTTTTTTGCAGTATTACAGCGGTAAGTAGGTTCACTCTTAAAGCAAGGCCAGCACGACTATGTCCTTCCTCTATCTGTGTCTTTAATCTTACCCTTCAAGTTTCTGCTCTGCTTTGGCACTTTGTAATGTTTGCTGAATGTCCTCTAGTGACATTCAGTTGGGATTAAAAGTGCCATTTTGGCATTCAGAGTTTTTTCTTCAGTTCTCAGTTCCCATTAAGTTTCAGTACTGACAATGAATCACAGCGTTAACTGAATTTAATTAATAGAAATAATGCTCCTTGTAAAGGAGTCATTAAATACACTGAATATTTTACAACAAAAATACAATAATATGTATTTATGCATGAGAAACATGCTTTTGAGGGATAGCTACTCATGTCCAGTATTTTTTCTCATCCCCTTCTTTTTCATTTTCTTCTTTTGATCTTTGAACTATATTTCCTTTATTTTTCCTTTTTGTTTCCCCTATTTCTTTTTCTCTGTGTTGGCCTTGCTGTGAGAGCAGATATAAACGAGTGCGAGCTGGTACCGGTGCCCTGTGCCTATCAGTGCGTGAACAGCCCTGGCAGCTACAAGTGCCTGTGCCCACCGGGGCTCCATCTGCTGGGCGATGGCAAGTCCTGTGCCGGACTAGAACGCTTGCCCAGCTATGAAAGTTTCTCATATGGGTATAGAACATCCCAGTCCTCTTCTGATCGGAGCTCCTACCAGCAGCGCTACCATAGCCTGACCTCCCAGAGTTTCCACTCATATGTCCCCATTGGGGGGCGTCACATGGCCAACAGAACGAACAATGCACCTCCACGCAGTCGTAGGGATACTAATACATGCCGCCCTGGTTTTCAGGCAAACAATGGCCAGTGTTTAGGTAACTTCAAGAGCAACTGTTGAGCTGTAGAATTTGGGTTTTATGTCATATGCAAGGTCAGATGTATATGTATACAGTACTCTTGCTCCTAAAAGATTAGACTATTGAAAACCGCTGCTATTACACTGATAAACTAATGGATTATATATACAGTGGGTACGGAAAGTATTCAGACCCCCTTAAATTTTTCACTCTTTGTTATATTGCAGCCATTTGCTAAAATCATTTAAGTTAATTTCTTTTTCCTCATTAATGTACACACAGCACCCCATATTGACAGAAAAACACAGAATTGTTGACATTTTTGCAGATTTATTAAAAAAGAAAAACTGAAATATCACATGGTCCTAAGTATTCAGACCCTTTGCTGTGACACTCATATATTTAACTCAGGTGCTGTCCATTTCTTCTGATCATCCTTGAGATGGTTCCACACCTTCATTTGAGTCCAGCTGTGTTTCATTATACTGATTGGACTTGATTAGGAAAGCCACAAACCTGTCTATAAGTGAACAAAGTGAACACAAAAATTTCTTCCAGTTCCATCAACTTCCCTTTCGGGGCTCCACAGAACACAATGAGTTGCATCAAGCATTTTAGAAAAAGGAATATAGTAAAAGCAATAATTTATTATTTTAAATTTAACTTTTTTTATTGTATATACCCATTCAGACATAAAAGTTATTTATTGGTGCATGCAAATTGGCAGTTGTCCTGATTAATGTTTCATTTTAAAAGTTATTTTATAGTATATACTAATTTCTTAATGTCAATATGTTTGATGTCCTGTTAATCATATCAGTAGTAAGACATGAACACACACAAATGGCACCATTTCCAGATAATATTGAATTACTTACTTACCTGTCTTGTGTTTTTAGATATTAATGAGTGTGAACAGAGGGATACATGTCAACACGAATGTATGAACTTACCAGGCAGCCATAGGTGTTTGTGTCCCAGCGGCTATCGCCTTATGACCAATGGCAAAACCTGCCAAGGTAAGAAAATTAAGACATTCATTAAGAAACACACACACACAATACACATGTTAACTTCTCTAGAGAGTGACTTTAAAAAAATCTAAATATGCTAAGTTTAAGAGGTTTGTGCATTGCTCACTTTTGGTCTTTGTATGAATAGACATAGATGAATGCCTGGAGCAGAACATTCAGTGTGGTGCAAACCGGATGTGTTTCAACATGAGAGGGAGTTACCAGTGCATCGACACACCTTGCCCTCCCAACTATCAGAGAGATCCAGCCACAGGGTGAGACTGACACTCTTTTCTTTGCAATTTTCTACTTTTGTTTAGCTGATTGTTCAAAATAAAGTGAGTTCTGCCTTTCCTCTCAGGTTCTGCCTGAAGAATTGTCCGCCCAATGATCTGGAGTGTGCCCTGAGCCCGTATGCACTGGAGTACAAACTGCTGTCCCTGCCCTTCGGCATCGCCGCCAATCAGGACCTGATACGGCTGGTTGCCTACACCCAGGATGGAGTCGTCCACCCACGCACTTCCTTCTTAGTGGTCGATGAGGACACGACTCTACCCTTTGCCCTCCGGGACGAAAACCTCAAAGGTGTTCTGTTCACCACCCGGCCACTGCGCGAACCTCACACGTACCGCATGAAGGTGCGAGCCCTGTCTTACAGCGCTGACGGAGGCATAGAGTACCAGACCACCTTTATTGTCTACATTGCTGTCTCAGCTTATCCCTACTGAGCACTTTACTACGTCCAACAGCCTATGAAGAGAGGGAATGATCAGAGGTTGCGCTAAACAAAAGAAATCCGTCATTTGATGAGTTTTGAGTTTTGAACATAATGCTTTTCGTCATTTTGACAGATAAAAAAAAAGAAATCTAGTTTCCTAAATTTCCTTACGCTAGAAATATTCTCACAGGAAGGGTTTCTAAATGGGATTAGATGTGCAGAAAAGGGGAGACGACAAGGTTTTAAAGCACCTCTGTTAAAATAAACCAGGAGAGAGATGTGAGAGAGGATTTGGGGAGAGAAACAAGAGATTGCAAGTGTTGTCCGTTTCACATTTTGGAAGCAAAAGAAAAGGCCAGAAAGGTAAGACTAAAAAAGCTCTTGGCACAGAAGTTCCTGTAATATTGGTGTCAAAAAAAATATAATCTGTATCAATAATTTACTGACATAAAAATAGAGCATGACGGAAACTTTGCAATCCATCCGGATAAATTCTTTTATAGCGCAACCTCTGAGAATGGTGCAGTTTTTGTACATGTGTGACTAAGACATATTGGTCTTTGTGTTAGTGTGTATGTGTGAGTGCAGATCCACCACTTGAAGAGATTTTCACAGGTCACGTTGACATGTAAAAGGCCTTTTAGGCTGGAAGAGCTAAGTTGCGGAGTCCTGCAGACAGCCAACGCTGCTCTCTGAGGTTCAGACTTCAAGACAGACTTCACGTAAAACCAGTTTTAAGACTGCTGGCAGGTTAGTGGTTTGGTCGCAAGAATCCTTCATCAGAATGTACAGCAGGACTATGGGTGGTTTAATAGAATACATTTGCATATATGTCTACCTATTAACTTATTGAGAATTGCTTGAATATATGAAAGAAGCTCAATTCCCTCCATTACTTTCTATGAAATGAGATGGGGAAGATTTTATTGGTTTAAATTTTGTGCTTTTAACATAATGATGAGGTTTGGGTTTGAGCCACATCTGCAGTAAAAATGAAAAGGATGTCCACCTCAGGTAAGCACTAGCTTTACTCTAGAAGAGAGTATTGTCAATCAGTTATTATGCACATAATAGCAATGTTTCATTATCATTACAGGTTCATAGACATTTGGAGTATTTTTTGTAACTGTGTCAGTAATCAAGGTGTATTCTATTTTAATGATATGTATATGTGTTTTTTTTTGTAATACTATGTTGTATTCGCTTTTTAGAAAAAAAAAAAAAATTGTACAATGTTGTTTTAAACCTATTATTCATCAAGGAATCCTGGAAACTTATATCACGGTTTTTACAAAAAATATCAAGAAACAACATTGATTATAATAAATGTTTCTTGAGCACCAAATCAGCATATTAGAATGATTTCTAAATGATCCTGTGACACTGAAGACTTTAATAGCTGCTGAAAGCCCTGACATCACAGGAATAAATTACATTTTAAAATATATTAAAATAGAAAATGGTTTTTAAATTGTAATATTTCACAATATTGCAGTTTTTTTTACTGTATTTCTGATCACGTAAATGCAGCCTCAGTGAGCATAAGAGATTTCTTTAAAAAAGAAAAAAAATAATAAAAAAAAATTAACATGACCCCACACTTTTGAATGGTAGTGTATATTGGAGGCAATAGTGTAAGTACTATTTCACTGACAATGTCAGTTACCAGAGAAAATAGTTTTGACCCAAGATTTGTAAAAACAGTAACCAAACCAAAGTTGAAATCTGTAGTCCAACGTTTTTACAGCAGATGCTATGAATAGAGCTTTCATCATAATATTCCTACATATTTAAATTCAAAATATAAAAGTCAAGTCCTTAAGAGTATATTTAACATTTTATTATTCAATCAATCACAAAAGCACAAACATTAAAAATGAATATTTTGTAAGGCAGTCATTATACCAGTTTGGTTTATTGAGCGTTTGCACTTTTTTCTTTCTGTATTACTGCATTGTAGAAACAGGTCCCTGTGATCAGACGATACATCTCAGATCAGACTGGATCAGTAATGATCTGCTTTGAGGCAGTATTTAACATGATTGGCTTAAAAACGCCTCCTGACGCACACTGGATACAGACATATGCATTCTGACACACACAATAACAATGGTCCACAGCAAGAAGTGCTTTGGAATGCTGACACAGATACATTAAGACAGGACATTAATACTTTATAACAGCATTAGTGAAAGTCACAATTACAGAGATGGCACCATCTGCCAAGAAAATCAAACAGATGTTTCAGATTATGCATAAAATAGGCATTGCAACTAAATGTCTTATAGGAGCATTTAAGCCAGTGCGCTTTGGTTATGAAAAAATAAATACTATGGGACAATGCCTGGTGATTTAGAACAAATGAGAAGGGATCAGTGATGGGAAGGTTTAATGCACTGGAGAGTATTATTCATAATCCGACACAGTCACTGTGGACAGACGTAGTGGCAGTAAGACACTCCGACCAATTTGTGACTGTTCATTTTAAGCCATTCACACACATGCAGATTAAAATAACAGGTTACATTTCTCTCAAAGAAGAATGACTATTAATAATAAAAGGTTATAATAAACTTCAGATTGCTGAATACAATACAGAAGAGCGTAGAAAAGTATTCCTGAGAGAAGCTACGATAAATCTAGCATACGACTGATGGCACGGTTATGCGTTTTCAACTATGTGAGTTAAGAGTGATATAACAGAAGAGGGTAAAATGCATGGAAATCAGATGAGAGGTCCTCTTCAGCACCCTGTGGAAAGTCATCGCTTTGTTCTGAGTGTCTCAGCAGGATTTCCCACTGCTGGGTCGTGTTTTTCTGTGCGCTATGCTAACCCGCTGCAGTTTACACTGTTTTCCTGGCTGTTAGGACCCTCACGATGCAGCCCACTCCACCTGCAGAAAGAGCCTGAGGAGAATACAGAGCAAGAATTGAACTACTGACCTCACACATGCTTTGCTGTTAGAACATTGCTATTACACTGCTACTTTTTAACCCTACCTTTTCATGCCACTGCAGCAGGACAGCGCTGCTGTTCTCGGACGGCCGCTCGAACCCCTTGTAGATGTATTTCATGAGCAGATCTACTCCATTTTTATCCAGAGACTGAACTCCCTTCTCTATGTCAGTGCTCTTAAAGGAGCTGAGCACCTTCAGCACTAGACCTTCAGCACGATCCTACATCCAGAATGTCAGAAAAATGCAAGTATAATCCAACTATATGAAGTTTTGTGTATATCTGCGACTTTGAAGCCCACTACAGTTAAGTGAGTGGAACTCCCTGTCGTTATTACAGTGGATAGCTGTGCATGTGCATATATTGCTGTCCTTTTTGTAGAATTTCGTACTTGCATTGCTTACCAAACTTACATTGTCCCAGAACAGTGTGAAATTATTAGAAGTCAGTGTAGCATAAGAATGATTTTGAAACTTCTTTCAAGGCTTAAAACTTACACTTTAACAGAGAAGTTAGCTGCATGTTTACAGGTGTTGTTTTATATTACTGACACTTTGGAATAAGCAAAAAAAAAAAACTTAATGTGCAACAATGCAACATTTTCTATACAATTGTATATCCAAAATTATGTTGAATCTGACAACAAAATGCTATGATTTTTTGACATGGTAGGAAGATCTTAGGAAAAAAGGTGGCATGATTCACCTTGACGTTCTGATTCTTTGTGTTGATTGGTGGGCTTTTTAATACTGCCTGCAGGGCACCCATAAGGTTCCCTTTGAAGAGTGGAGTTAAGAAAAACACCAACACAATTTAAATATCTATGTATGCATGAATACATGTGGCTTTACAATATCCAAATGCTGTGGACATGCTGCATTTGAGGGGAAGGGGGAGGGGGAGTTAGAAACAGGAAATAAGGCCTTGGCTACTCCAAAATTGACATATAAGGACATTAATTCAACTTCCTTATACTAAATAATGCATCGGTTTGACAGAAGAACCTAATATTTATAAACTCCACACAGTTTGAAACTAATATGTTGTAGTTATCAGCATCTTTTTCAGAAACAGTTTTGTTAAAAAGAATGTCTGGAATGTTAAGGCATGCCAGGACTTTTCAGAGATGTGAATATGAGCTAATGCATGTTCACAATGCAGCACGAGAGGACATTGACACTAGACAAGTATGTGTGTGACGATTCTCGCTTCACTTATAAAGGTAAAAACTGATCTATAGACAACGCTATCAATATTGCATGTCACCTGATCGGTGCCTGTCCAGTAAAATAAATGTAAATGAGTACAATTGTGCAGAGAAGCCAGTTCTGTCTGTGTGGAGTCTTTGATGTACAGAAATCTGCAGGCCAGCTGGTGTATCGGGCAACTCATGAATTATGAAAAGCAAATCAGTGCATATAGATGTTGACGTAAAACAAAATTAAATCGACTTTCCTTCTGTTAAAAACTTTTTGCTGCAAAATATTTAATTAGCTGTATTATATCCATTACTGATGTAATAATTACCCACCCCACACGAAGATTATTTATATGAGCTGGTGCCAGTGAAAATGCAAGACTAGTTCAGATCATGTACATGTTGGCCGGTGAATAAAGAAGGATATTGTCTGATGAGAGAATCCACCTCTGCCTCATCTGGACCCAGCTGGTTTTCTCCTCCCTCTTCCTCGTCTACAAACTTGTTCTCGTCGTATTCATCCACATCCACTTTACGGAAACGATCGGACACCGTATTCTTTGACATGATGCAGGCTATTTATTCCCCGTCTGATGTACAGCTAAACGCTATGTTGCATGAACACAATCTTAACAGTCCCCTATGCTAAACCTGCAGCCTAGTCAGTGGTGGATTCCATCACTTCCGCATAGCGCGCCCTCTATCGGGAACACCGGTGAACTGAAGCGCTCTAATTCCTAATCCAGTGATTCTCAACCACTAGGGGACCTCAACCCCTACTAGGGATGGGTCTGCAAGACGATTTAAAATTGTTTAAACTAAATTACTTATAACTCAATTAACTCAGTGTCCAACATGTAAATGAAATGTCATTCTTATTTTGATTTGCCCACAAACATCTGTTGATAAAACACAGTTCTTGAAATCTCTGGAGTAACAAATTTAATTGTGTTTGTGGCTATTGGCACTTTTCATTTCACTTTTCGTTATAAACGAGGGACCTTTTTAGATAAAAAAAAAAGCATCTACTAATGAATAAATAAAAAGTTCGACAATCAAAATCTTTTCTGCTCCGTCCATAAAGTAAAATAATAATATTAAAATGTATTATAATTTTAAAATATAATAATATGAATTACATTAATATTTGTATAAAAGTTGGTCTGCCTATTAATCAAAGACTTTAGATGTAATGTGATAGATCGACTATTTTAATATGCAGTGGTGGTCAAGTGACGGTAGAGGGCGACAGAACACTTTCATTCGCTGTCTTAAAAGGTTTGGCGTTTTTCACGCTTGAATGTTAACCCATTCGCAACCGGGGGTAATCCTAATCTTTTGTTGCATGTTTCACTGCTGCTCAGTTAGTAATTGATCCTGGTTTCGAGATTCCACGCTGTAAACGTAAACTCTGGGTTAATGTTCTTATTTGCATATTTACTATTAGGTCAGTAATATTCAGTGGATGAATACGGCTCCATGCCTGATTGGCATATGTGATGTGACCTGTTTTATTAACTGCAGGTCCGTTTGAAAATATCGCCAAGTTCACTTTGGTAGTATTACATCTTATGAGACTTAAAGTAATAATAATGATGTCTCTTTTACAGTGCAGTTCATCGGCATTTTCAAAGTTTCAGTTTTGAATGCTAAACAGCGGGTTTCTGCAGCTGTAGACAGCATGGATATTTAGTGAGGTAAGCACTGAGGCAGTTTATTATTGGTTGTCTGTTGCTAAAGAACTCTTTTTAACATTCTGGCATCACAATTCACACTGTAATTGACACAAAGCAGTGTGGGCTCCTTTCAACATTACAAGTGTGAAAAGTTGCTTAACCCAAGGGTTAAAACTTTATCCGATCTGCCAGGGGCGATTCTAGGATTTTCATTTTAGGGGGGGCTCAGCCTCCAGTGAGATAAAAAATAATAATAGTAGCCTAATAATATATATTAATAATATATATATTAAAAATGTTTGATTAATAGAGGTTGTATACTAAACTTATTGCTATAGCCCCCCTAAAAATGTCCTAGTGACGCCCATGTGATCTGCAATGTTGGACAGCACACACTAGGTTAAAAAAGCTTTTATATGGCTTTTATATATTTAAAAAAGCTACATGGATAAGTGCTTTTTTATAAAAGCACTTATCCATATAGGACTGTTAATCTTTACAAAGAGTTTAAAGACATGGGCAATTCAATGTGTCATTGAAAAATGTTTTTTTTTTTTTTTTATATTCAGTGCAGGTGACACAAGGACGTAATGTGATGCAATAACTGTGTAGGCTGGATGTTTAAAATGGGAGCCTCATACATTGCATAACAAACAGTTCACCTCCTGTGACATACACAAGGCATTCCTTAAAGGGATATTTCATCCAAAAATTCGGTCTGTGCAAGAAACTGAACAGTATTTATATTGTTTTTTACCTCTGATTCACTGCAATGTCCGAACTGTCCTGAGCACGTTCTCAACAGCAGGCACGTGACGCATCTTCTTCTTCTCCTTGCTTTACAGCGATCCGCAGACTAATAAGTGCATTACTACCGCCGGCTGTTGAGAACGCGCTCAGGACAGTTCGGACATTGCAGTGAATCAGAGGTTAAAAAAACGATATAAATACTCTTCAGTTTCTTGCACAGACCGATCGTTTCGTGTCTTTACACATCAATGTATCGCCACGAGCCGCAGGGTTTAATTAGGTTTTGTTTGTGTATGTTTTTTTGACTCTCAAAGCCATGATTTTCCATTCACTTCCATTATATGACTGACAGACTGCAACGGTTTGAGTTAAAAATCTTCGTTTGCGTTCTACTGAAGAAACAAGGTCACCTACATCTTGGATGCCCTGGAGGTAAGCAGATTAACATAACATTTTCATTTTTGGGTGAACTATCCCTTTAAGAGAAACCTCAAAACATCATATGTCCAAATAAACAACCTTCATTTTATCTACACGTTTCTGTGTCTATAAGGGTGTAAAAGTTGGTCATCTGCTCTCTGGCTATTGATTTATGTCAGCTCTTTCAACGGCTCATGATACAACCCAAGATGAGAATGCAGATAGTGTGGTGGAGTGTATGATGAATTCTCCCATGTTATTTGATCATTTCAGTGTGTCGGTGGAACCTTTCAGATGGAGTTTATCTGACACACAATCATTAATTTGGTTCTCTGACTACAGAGACCCAACCCTTCTTGGCCTATCTGTAATGTTTTCAGTGTAACAGTGTGCTCGAAGTGCTTTCTGGGAAGGCCAGAAGGGAAAATGGATGTTGCATTGATATACTGTGGTTTCAGTTGTACAACATATGCTTACTTAACAATGAAACCATGAGAGTTATGCAATGAGAATGACTATACTTTTTTGTGCCATGATTAGACTAATAGACTAGTTTCTAGGTTAAAACCTAACCAGTACTGCCAGTAAATGGTCTCTGTCCGGTCAAAACTACAGTTAAAAGAACATTTCTTTTTGAAATTTTCTACATATGGTAAATAACATTGTTAGTGGCACTTATAAAAAGCGTTATGATATTTATGGTACATATTTTGCATAATATATGTACATATTGGAATATAATATTACTTAGTATGTTTTGAAACTATCAGTATGATTTTAAGTGATTGTGAAAGATGAGACTAAAGTAGATCAGTGCTGAGAATAAGTGCATCTGCTAAAATATTAAGGTGTTTTTCTAATATATAAAAAGGCAACTGAAATCAGATCAACCTTTACAAAGGTATGTTGTCTCAAAACACGTACTAACGTAACATTGAGATGTAATATAAGGACAATAAATCATTGTTCACATATTTACAAACAATCACATTTTTAAAGCCTGAGTTATAATTCCATCACCAAACGTATGTATTCATGGTTATATGAATAAATACTAAATGAATACTAGGTGAGTCTGCAAGTACAAACTACAGATAACCTTGTCAATAAATTCCAAGATAATCCCAAAAAAGGGCAAAAAAGTTCAAATACACTCTATACTAAGATGGAGCATGACACTTGCATCTTAAACAGCCATTCCTCATTAGTTTATATTATATATCAAGTTCACAGATGCAGCAGGTATAGTGGAGTCAATATTACAAAATCAGTGTTTTTGTGCTACCTTCGTGATATTATTGTACTGTGTAAAACAAAAACAAAAAGGTGCATAATGTCCTGATATTGAAGTGTTGGTTTGAGGATTAACTAACACTTCCTTTTCTTTTCTTTTCCCTTTCACTCAGATACTAACAGACAATACTTCCCCGTTCTCAGTTAAAAGGAAAGGGAAATGACACAGCTTGAAATAAAAACTATATCTGCATCTAAGCAAAAACTTCAAATAAACACCCGTTCAACCGACTGAAGCAGGATAGTGACGGGATTGCCATGGTTTCATGTTTTGTTTCGTACCTCAGGATGTTGCTCTTTTGTCGAGGCACTTCCTCAGTTCATAAAACATAAATCATGGCTCATATGATGTTGTTTTAGCAGTTGCCATTAAAACGTAAACAAACACACCAAAAGCCTCAAGGAACTTTTCGATTATTATAATCAAAGGATCATTTTGCACTGAAAGGGATAATTCAACCAAAAAAGAAAATTCTGTTATCATTTCCTCACCCTCATGTTGTTTCAGACCTGTATGACTTCTGTGGAACATAAAAGAATATATTTAGAAAAATGTTTCTTTGTTTTTATTTGTCTGTACTATGAAAGTCAATGTTGTTTGGACCCCAGTGTTTTTCTGAATATCTTTTATCTTCTGAAGAAGAAATTAAATGTACATGTTTAGAGCGGCATAAGGTATCTGATATGAGAAAATTATGACAGAAGTTTATTTTTTGGGTGAACTAACTTGATGTATATCTCTATCTGAACCTTAAATAGACAATAAAGGGCTACAACAACAACAACAACAACATTATGTATCTTAATAGAAATCTTGATAGAAGTTCATGAATGACTAAAACACCCGCACAATCTAATGTTAACAATTAGACTGTAAATGCTGTTTTCATTGTGTCACTCACCAGTTCTCTTTTTATTAATAAAAGGCTACATGAGAATGTTCTGGGGACCAAACCAGATCATCTGGTTTCACAGTTTGTGGAGTTATTTTTCAGTTAAAAAACAACCAAACAATTATTTCCATGATGAGATGTGTGACATCTGTAAACTTCCTGTGGCTAGATTGTCATCATACTTCGCCTGCTTATTGGTATGCTTGTCCTTTGGACACCTTCTTCAGGTGTTTTTTGTTTTGCACTTCACTGAGAGAAAGAGAGGCAGAGCAGCGAGATGGAATCTCCTTCCTATACAAGATGCTGTCCTTTATGCCTTCTTTGATGACCTAGATAAACAGTGATAGAGGATTTAAAAATGTGACTAGCATAAACAAGCCTAAACATGAAGCAGAAGAAACATTGAGGTTCAGAAACTGATTCAAAACAAACCTGCACAATATAATAATAAAAATTAAATATACAGTATATATATATATATATA